CCACCGATTTTAGATCACTTGTTGTTCCCTTGTCCCTGGGTTTGTTAACACCAGTTCCTTTCCCCCACCTCCCCTTCTCCTATGTCCCCCTGGAACTGTCGGTCCTGTTGTTTTCTCCCCCAGATTGTTTATCCAGCCTATCTTATCTAGATAGACCTGCAGAGATAATAATATACACAAAAACAAGACAGTTTGCTCAAACTTTTAAGAAAGGTGGAGTAGAAAATGATGGCATTTTCTCATAAGTGGCATTCTTGTTACAGCTAGCATTATAATTTATGAGTAATTTATAACTTTTACTAAGCAAGTTAGTTCACTAGCATGTGGTGTAAGTAAAATCAAGGTTACTGGGTCAGTCTTTCTGTGGTTTCCTCCATGTGACCACAGATCAGTCTGAGTCCCATCTTATAAATCTATACATTTGCTCATAAGGGGGAAAATAAGGATAATATTATTCATCAGAAAAGTTATTCTGTTGCTAGAAAAATAAAAGCAGATAAACAATACATAACATAAAAAGATAAGCCACAAAAATGTGTAGCATTTAAAACAGGAGGTTGCAGAGAGCTGCCTTTCTAGTAAAAAAATTTTGCATTTAAAAGATATTTTAAAGGAATCCTGGTAGGGCAGTAGGTTCAACACTGGGCTGTTAATCACAAGGTTGGCAGTTCAAACCCACCAGAAGTTTTGCAGGAGAAATATGAGGCTTTCTGCATCAGTACAGATTTGTAGTCTCAGAAACCCTAAGGAACAGTTGTACTATGTCCCATAGGGTCACTGTAAGTTGGAATTGACTCGATAGTAGGGAGTCTGGCTTAAATAAGTATACATTAGAGAACCCAATAAGTGCAATTCTCCTGCCCCGGTGAAAGAGATCCTAGCAAACATCCTTATAACTGGACCAGTTGGTAACATCATGGTAAATAGAGAAGAGATTGAAGTTGTCAAGGATTTCATCTTGCTTGGATCCACTGTCAGTGCTCAGAGAAACGGCAGTCAAGAGATCAAACAATGCACTGCATTGGGAAAGTCTGCTGCACAAGACTTCTTTAACGTTTGGAAAACCAGGGATGTTATTTTGAAGACTAAGGTGTGGCTGACCAAAGTATTTTCAATTGCCTCATGCATGTGAAAGTGGGACACTGAATAAGAAAGACTGAGGAAATACCGATGCATTTGGACTATGGTGCCGAAGAAGAATATTAAATGTACCATGGGCTGCCAAAAGAACAACTACATCTGTTTTGGAAGAAGTATAGCCAGAATGCGCCTTAGAGGCAAGGACGGTGAGACTTCATCTCACTTACTTTGGAGACATTACCAGGAGAGAGCAGTCCCTAGAGAAAGGCATCCTGCTTGGTAAAGCAGAGGGACAACAAAAAAATTAGACAGCCCTCGAGGATGGATTGGCACAGTGGCTGCAACATAAGAACAATTGTGAAGCTTTCTCCGTGTTTTGTCCCATCCTACAGAGGGTTGCTATGCGTCAGAACTGACACCAAGCACTCTTAGAAAGCAGCAGGGATAAGAAAGCTAAGAATTTCATAACATGGATCATTGTGGCTTCAAATGACATTATTCCTGCAGCAAAGGAAAAAAAAAAGCAGATGTAGAAGAACATACAGCTCAGGCATTGTGTAAAATTGCGAAGTAAAGACTCCCCCTTCCTCCAATTTTTCCCTAGAAACAAATAAGGTCAGTGTTTTATTGAAAGGGATACAGGGTCTCAGAATCATGGCTATTTCTGAAGTGTATTAAGGGCAATTTCTACACCAAACCAAAACCAAACTCCACTGCTGTGGAGTAAATTCTGACGTTATAGCCACCCTGCAGGGCAGAGCAGAACTGCCCCCGTGGGTTTCAAGAAGGTGACTCTTTATGGGAGTAGAAAGCCTCATCTTTCTCCCATGGAGTGGCGGGCAGATTCAAACAGCTTACCTTGTGGTCAGCAGCCTAACAAGTAACCCACACCACCACCAGGACTCCATTGCACAGAGATGGAACCAGAGAAACCAGAGCTACAGAGAATCCATCTCTAACTAAGTCTAAGGAGGCAAGACGTAGTTGTAAAATAAACAAACCTTAGCTGCACAGTGAAGAGCTGTGAGGTGGGTTGATGTTGCTCTCGTATCTACATCAACGCCAAGATCAGAGACCAAGAATCGGATGGTTTCATTCTGCCCAGTGACCGCTGCCCTATGCACAGCCTGGGCACCTAGAGCATCCTGGGCCAAAGCGCAAGCCTGGTAGAGTGAGGAGTGGTCGTAAAGAAAGATAAGTAAAAAACCTGTGTCCACGAACCTTTGAACATTTTGGCAAAACCTTTGTTATCTAAGTAGTTTTTCTCGGTAGAGAATCCATAGCTTTTGTCAGATTTTAAAATTATTAATCATTTTTTGAGAGCTCTTACAGATATTATATCATTCCTTCATTCAATTAGATCAAGCATAATCATACAATTGTTACCACCATCAGTTCCCAAATATTTTCTTTCTTCTTGAACAATTTGCTATCAGCTCCCCTTTACCTCCTCCATCCCCCACGCTACCCCCCAGGAGCCCTTATTATTCGTTTTTTATTGTTTGTGTGGGTTTTTTGGCTTTATTTTGCCCCATCCAGTATATCCATTCACCTACAATTCTGTTATCCGCTCCTCTCAATGGTATGGCAGTCACCTAATCTGGTGTCAATGTAAGGATTAAGAGTGTAGGGGTGGAGTCTAGCCTGTCAATCTGGAGATAGCTATTGAGACTTCTGTGGGCATGGCCTTCTCCTGAGAATTCTGGGAAATCTGGTACTTTCTCCTTAGAGGTGGAAGACACCTCTCTCTCTCTCTGCCACTCCCTGGGAAACATTGCAGAAGACAAGCCACATGGATGCAACCAGACCTCGGAAGCCGGAAAAGCCACAGAGAGACCCCTGCTAGCGCTGAGATGTTTCTAATGACACTGTATCCAAAGATTTGCTGAGAAGCCACAGAGAGACTCCTGCCAGTGCTGAGATGCTTATAACACCACTGGATCCACAAGACGTTCCACCCACTGGCTTGTGATCGTCCTGCATTTAGCGTCATTGCATGTGTTTTGTGAGTCTGAAGAGGACTTTATAGATTGATATCAGACATATGAACTAATATCGGACTTTTGGAGTTGATCTGGACTGGGCTGGGATGTTTTCTCCATGTTCAATTGCTCTTGTATATAAACCTCTTTCTTATACACATAGGTGTGTCCATGGATTTGTTTCTCTAGTCCACCCAGACGAACACAAATGGGGTCATACAGTCATCCTTGCTATCAGCTCCCCACTGTCCCCTTACCTCTTCCCCTTCCTGTATCCTCCAGCCAGATTTTAAAGGATTTTCTTATACTGCTCCCTCACCCCCAAATGGCATAGATTTACTAACCTTGACTGCGTGCTAAAAGGACAGTCAGCAGGGACAACTTACGACAACCATAAAATGGCTACACCAAACCATACCCAGCTCACTGCCATCGAGCTGATTCTGACTCACTGCCACCCTACAGGACAGGGTTTCCAAGACTGTAACTCTTTATAAAAGTATAAAGCCCCATCTTTCTCCCAAGGTGTGGGTAGTGGTTTTGAACTGCTGACCTTGAGTTTAGCAGCCAAACCTGTAACCATTATGCCACCGGGGTCCCTCTAAACAACCACTATATATGGAATATTTACTTTGTTTACTGCTTTATATGTATTAAATTATTTAATCCCTATCATGGAATCCCCGAGGAACTCTGGTGGTGGCTGTAAGCCAGGAGTTGGGCTGCTAATATCAAAGTTGACAGTTCAAACCCACCTGCTGCTCCTAGGGAGAAAGATGAGGCTGTCTGCTCCCACAAAGTTTTACGGTCTTAGAAACCCTATAGAGGGTTGCTATGATTTAGAATCAAGTGGCAATGGAGTTTTTTTTAGTAGGTATAATGGAGTCCCTGAGTGGTGCAAATGGCTAATGCATATAGGGGCTAACTGACAGGTTGAAGGTTCAAGTCCATCCAGAGGCACTTCAGATCTAGTGATCTGCTCTTGAAAAGACCATCCATTGAAACCCGATGGAGAACAGTTATACTCTGACACACATGGGGTCACCATTGATATTATAAACGTTTGCTTCCCATGTTTTTGGCTCACACTCTCCACCCCAACTCCCCACCTTCCCTCTCCCACCAAAGCCTTTCGTGCACATAAGAGGCCAAGTCACTTTCTTCATTCAAAGTTGCCAATCAGGAGAACACAGACAAATCTCTCCCAATCCTGGTCACAACGCTCCCCCCACCCCCACCCCACCCCGCCCCAAGTATATCTGTTTGTGATTTCTTTGTCTGTTCTCTTCCTGTTCTGAGGTAGCCCAGCAGGTGCACTTCCCAATAAAGCCTGTTATTTGATACCCGCATTTTGGCTCAGTTCTCATTCCATCAACCTTGAGTCAGAATTAACTTCATGGCAATTGGCAAACAATTCGTATAATAAACCCCTGAAGACATCATTTATCTTCATTTTACAGATGGGCACCCCCACGCTTAGCATGATCAAGGCGTCCACAGAAGGAACTGGCAGAGGTGGGTTTTAACCCCAGGACTGGATTACTCATATGCTTACCGCTTCTTCTACAATATAACATTTACAGGAGCGACCAAAGGAATAAGATAAGAAAGATACCTTGTGGCTTTCAAGGAGCAGCCTCGCTACATTGATGTGGCCACACTGAATTGCATCCATAAAGGGTGTAACGCCACACTTGTCTCTGCAGTCGGGTTCATACTGGCACCTGGAGCCCAAACCCAAAACAACAGAGCTGAGAACAGTCACCACTTCAGGCCAGTGGACTTTTGCTCACCTGCAAGTAAGTGGGTTACGAGCTTTACAAATGATCTGTGAAAATCAGGAGCTTGCTCCCTCTCCCCCGTCTCAGTGTCTGAGCTTAGCCCTCGCTCTCCAAGCATATGTTATATTTCCCAGAAAAATCTGGTCTTCTTTGAACCTTCTCTTTGTCATTAAAAAGAAAAGAAAAGAAAAAATTAATTAAATTAAAATAATTAATTATGTTTTAGGTGGAAGTTTAAATTTAAATTTCTACACAACTTGTATGGCAATGGTTATATATTTTTACGATGTGTCAACACTCTCTTTTTTTCTTTGTATTCCATTTCCATTTTCCCGGCTTATTCAAAGTGTCTACTTTAGCATATTCTTCTCTTAGCCCCTTGCCTACTCCTGCCATTGTCATGGTAGATCTGGAATATCTACTTCATTTAGTGTGACCCATCACTTTTTGTAAATTTCCTAGAGCCTCCTCAAAAACCCAAACAAACCCAAACAAAAAACCACTGTCATTGTCAATGCTGACTCACAGAGACCCCTATGGGTTTCCAAGCCTGTAACTGTTTATGGGGATAGAAAACCCCATCTTTTTCCTGTGGACCTGCTGGTGGTTTTGAACTACCAACTATGGACATCACAGCCCAACTCATAACCACTAAACCACCTGAACTCCTTGGGAGCCATCCTCACAGCACATTAACTATAGCCCTGGTCCTTGGGAGAGGGCTTGCTGGGTGTGCTATATTATAAACACTTTACTATCTCCCTAGCTACTAATGGACATCATGGTTATTAACTGGAGATAATTGCCCTCTGATAGACCCAAAAGAGTTATTGTTTATATTGGTGAGGCAAAAGAGGAAGGATTTTACACGGATGCTAATAAATCTAGAATAGCCTATCAGGAGATGGTGACATGCCCTAAGAAGGGAGCCCTAAGGAGTGTCCTTACCTGCTGGGGGCCCTTCCGCTTTCATTACTTCCTTCCACTATTCTTTCTCTTCTAGAATTAAAAGATAACGGGATTTTCCACAAGAGTTTGAAGCCCCCTCATACATGCTGTTTGGCATGTAACAGTCTAGCTTGCTAACGTAGTAATGAGATGATGTTTTCTTCATAGAGATGTCCAGTTTTGTTAGTGCCATTTATTACAGAGGCTGTTTCTTCCTCATTGACTGATCGTCGACCCCTTGTCAAAGATCAGCTAGATGGGTTCACTTCTGGACTCGGAATTCTCTTCCATTGGTACTAGTAGGCTGTTTTGATTAACATGGACATATAGTATGTTTTGAGACGGGGAAATCAGAGGCCTCCTACGTTGTTGTTCTTTAATATTGCTTGCGCTATTCGGGGCCTCCTGTCTTTCCATATAGAAGATTAATTTTTTCATTTCATTTAAGAATGCTATTGGGATACAAATCAGGATTAGATTCTATCTACAGATCATTTTTGGGAGTATTGAAGTTTTCACAATGTTAGGCCCTCTAATCTATGAGCATGAACTGTTTACCTGTTTATGTAAATGTCTTCTAGTTCCTTCCAGTAGCGAGTTATGGTTTTCCCTGTATAAGTCTTACGTTCTGTGGTTACGTTGATTTTAGATACTTTTTCCTTTAGGGGGCTATGGAAAATGGTATTGATTACTTGATTTATTTTTCAGTTGTCCTTGTTAGTGTGGAAGAACGCAACTGGCTTTTGTGTTGATCTTGAACCCTGTCACTTTGCTGAATCCTTCGCTTAGTTCCAGTAACTTCCCTACGGAGTCTCTGAGATCATGTCGTCTGCAAATAAGGATAGTTTTACTTCTTCCTTTCCAGTTTGAATCACACACCCCCTTTCTTGTCTTACTGTTCCAACTAGAAGTTGCAGCACAACATTGAACAGGCGTGGTAATAAAGGGCATCCTTGTCTTGTTCCTGTACTATGAGGGGAATGCTCTCAATCCTTCTCTGTTGAGAATAATGTTGGCTGTTCATTTTGCATGTATGGCTTTACTTTGGCTGAGGATTTACCTTCTATTCCTATTTTGCTGAGAGTTTTTTTATCAGAAAAGGCTGTTGGATTTTATCAAATATCTTTTCTGTGGCTATTGAGATGATCACATCAGTCTTTATTTTTATTTATATGGCGAATTACATTCACTAATTTTCTAATGTTGAACAACCCATACATTCCTGGTACGAATCCCACGTGATCATAATGTATTATATTTTTTGTACACTGTTGACTTCTGTTGGCTAGAATACTGTTGAGGATCTTTACATCATAGCCATGGAAAATACTCCAATTTTCTTTTCCAGTGTTGTCTTCACCTGGCTTCCTAGAATTTGGGGAGATTCTTTTTCAAGTGCTGGAATCGTTTATTAGAGGTGGTATAAAGTCTTCATAAATGTTTGCAGAATTCTCTAATGACATGGTCTCGGCTGAGCTCTTTATTTTTGTCATTGGGAATTTTTTTGTTTGTTTGTTTTGATACCTTTAATTTTTTTTAAGAGTCTGTTAAAAATTTCTATAGATGTTCAACATTTCTATAGATGTCTATTTCTTTCTCTTTTAAAAAAAATCATTTTATTGGGGGCTCGTACAATTCTTATCACAATCCATACATACATCCATTATGTCATTATGACATCTACAGACCTCTATAGATGTCATTTTAGAGCGATAGTATGTTTCCAGAATTCTGTGTATTTCTTCTAGGTTTTTAGATTTTGAGTTTTCATAGTCTTTTGTTATGGTCCTTTCAAACCTCACTTGGTTCTGTTGTGATGTCACCCACCTCATTTTATTTGGATTTTTTCCCCTGTACATTTTGCCATGGCCTGTCAATTTAGCTAACCCTCTCCAAGACTCGGCTTCTAATGTTGTTTTGTTTTCTAGTTTTTCTTCCTTTTATTACTTTATTTTTACTTTTCCCCCTGGTAACTGTGGACTTCTTTGGCAGCTTCTCTTCTGTTTGTTCTGGGAGCCGTAGTGGTGCAGTGGGTTATGTGTTGAGCTGCTAACCACAAGATCAGCAGTTCGACCCCCACAGATGCTCCATGGGGAACAGATGGGGTTCCCTGCTCCTGTAAAGACATGTAGCCTTAGAAACCCAAAGAGGCGGTTCCAGTGTGTCCTATAGGGTCATTATGAGTCAAATGGGCTCAATGGCATGCATTTAGAGGGTGGATTTTTTTCAAGTTGTAGGGTTCAGATATTGATGTATCCCTTTCTGATATGGATGCTTATTGCTCTAAATTCTTCTCTGATCATTGGTTTTACTGTGTCCCAAGGGTGCTGGTATATTGTGTTTTCATTCTTGGTCGATTCTAGGAATTTAAAATGTTTCCTTTTGAGTTTCCTCTATTACCCAATATTTTTAAGTAAGGTGTGATTTAGTTTCTATAAACTTATTTTTCCGTATTCTTTCTGTTACTGATTTCTAGCTTTATAGCATTATTAAAATTAAAAACAATTTTTTTTTGCTTTATAGCATTCAGCTCAGAGAAGGTATTTGTATTAATGTGATTTTTTTAAAAATATATTGAGGCTTGCCTTGTGGCCTCCATGGTCTGTTATGGAGAAATTTTCATCTCATTTATCAAATGACACATTCATGTCCCCAGTTTCACATGCCAGAGCCTTGAGGCCAGTCTTGCTATCATTCTTCCCATAATCAATCTAGTCCCCAAATCTGTCAGTTCTACATACAAAATCTTTTAAAAACTTGTATCCTACAGGAAAATAAACAACAACAACAACAACAACAAATCCCTGTATCTTTCTCTTCAGCTCCACTTTCACCCTTTTAGAACAAGTAAACAGCCGCATCAATAAGCAACAGCCTCCTGTCTGTTTGTTTCATCTCAACAACTGTCTGGATAATCTTCTCCATAGTAGAGAGAGTAATCTTTTCATCTGTAATTTTTTTTTCACAGTGTAATTTGAATGAGGTCATTCTCTTGCTTAAAACCTTTACCTGCTTCCCGCTGCACAAAGGGCAAAAGCTAAAACCTGTCACATGATCTACAAGGCACAGAATTCTATGAGCTGTTCCCCCTCTAGACTCCTCTCACATACCTTCCCTTTGCCTTGAGCCTCACTTGTTCCAGCTGCTTGATCCTCCAGCTGCCAACGTCACTGCCTTCGCACTTGCTAATCTCCTCTGGGTGGGACCTCATTCCTCCAGGAGTTACTTGGCTATAACTCTAACTCATCTTTCAGGCCCTACCTTGAGTGACTTTCAGAAGGACTTTCACACAGATCTTGCCTCGCTCCTCAGTCTAAATCAGGGCCTCTGCTTTCTCAAAGCATTTGCACGTTTCCTTTGTCACATCACCACTAGGTGTAATTAATATATTGATTTGTGGAATGTTTGTCTACACTTGTCTTCCATACTAGTCCATAGACTCCATCAGGGAAAAGGCTGTTTGTTTTGTTTATTATCTAGGCCCTAACACATAGGAGGGTCTCGAGAAAGGTTCAGGAATGAATGAATGAATGAATGAATGAATGTATGTTTTAAAATCTGTACAGGGTTCCTCAAACTTTTTAAACAGGGGGCCAGTTCACTGTCCCTGGAGGGCCAGACTATAATTTAAAAAAAAACACAACTAGGAACAAATTCCTATGCACACTGCATATATCTTATTTTGAAGTAAAAAAACAAACAGGGCAAAAACACCCGGCGGGTCAGATAAATGTCCTTGGTGGGCCGCATGTGGCCCGCGGGTCGTAGTTTGAGGACCCCAAGACAATCGGGTACATGCTAATGTGCAGCAGGAAAACCCCACACAGAAGCAACGCTTTTCCGGCACTCGGTTAGACTCTCCTCTCACTAGATGTCTCATCCATTTCTATGGCTTCCTCAACATCTTGATGTGGATGGGTTCCACGGTCTCGTATCTCAGACCATGGTATTGTCAGTTACTGCCACGTCGATTCCGACTCACGTACACATAGAACTGTGCCCATAGGCGTTTCAAGGCTGTGACCAGTCAGAAGAGATCACCAGGCCTGCCTTTCCAAGGTTCCACTGGGAGGCTTTGAACCACCATCCCTTTGAGGCACAGTCAAGTGCTTAACCCTGGCACCACCCAGGGGCTCCATCTCAGCCCATACTTCCCCTTTTGGCATCAGATCTCGGTTCCCAACTGCCTACTTGACATCATTACTTGGATGTGCCATGGGCATGTGAGTTACCATTTCCAAGAAGGAGTGTATCATCGTCTTCGCCCAAACCTGCTCCTCCAACTCTTTCCACCCTATATCTTAGGACACGGCACCAGTAGCACAGACCAGCTGTATAAGTAGACCCCTGAAAGTCATCCTGGACTTCTCTCTCTTTCTCACCCCCTTTATCAAGTGATTCACCTAGCCCTCCTGATTCTTTATATCATTCCCCTTCTCAGCCCAGCTACGCTTACCACTCTCCTGCTTTCCTGCAGCGGCCTTTCACAGCTCCCACCCTTGTTCAATCTGTTCTGTTTTGCAGCCAGAGGCACTTTGAAAAATGCAAATTTATTATTTCACCCCTGCTCAACGCCCTCCAGTGGCATCTGCATTGCTTAGCATAACATCTAGATTCCTTCAGCTGTCTACAGAGTCCTACAGGATCTAAAGTAGGCCTTCCTCTACAGCCTCACCTCACACCTTTCTCCATTTCACTGTTGATTCTTAAGCACATATTGTGCTTTTCTTAGTTTCTCTGATGTTCTGTGGGTTTCCCTGGCTTAAAGCATTTACAGACGCTGAATTATTCCTCGGCCTCTCATTTTCTTTCTTTTCAGGAGAACTCAATTTAATCTGAGCCACACCGCAGCTTTGAGATCGGGCAAGGCAACCTTACAAAAGAGTTATTTGAGCATCTGCCCAAGAAAAGTCTCGTTTTCTTGGTCTGCTTCATTTTTTCTCCTTCATTAAGAGTTTTACTTCCTAGAAAGAATATGTTTTGAGAATGATGAGGGCAACAAATGTACAAATGTGCTTGACACAATGGATGGATGTATGGATTGTGATAACAGCTGTATGAGCCCCCAATAAAATGATTTAACAATAAAGAACAAGATTTCTACTTCCTTATAGGGTCAAGGGAAAGGAGAAACAGAACTAACACACCCCTTTCCAAAATAAGGGCAACCACAGAAATACTAAATTACGACAACCCTTTCAGTGGTGTCCATAGGCTGTGGCTCACTGCTCCTGGAGGAGGACCAGTCTGGCACTTGGCACAGGCTGTACCGAGTCAACAGGCCTGGCAGCAGACCTTGCCGCCAGAGAGCAAAGGTGGGGCTCCTCACCCCTTTGCCTTGAAGGTCACATACCACAGCTCTCCCGTCTGGGCCTGGGAAGGGCGCCAGGGAGCCTAGGGAGATTCACATCCCTGGTTGTAGGCTTTGGTCCCAGGGTCTCGGTGACTACTTCCGCCCTCTTGGTGTCACTGCTGGCTTGGTTTGGAAGCGGGGGTTCTGGCGGGTGAGTGGGGGCTCCCCCCGCACTGATGAGGATGAACTTGTTGGGCCCACTGTTGCCACTCTCTTTTCCTATGGCGGTCAGTGCCGTGATGATGCTCTGGCTGTTGGCATTGTTGGGGAGGGCCACCACTTGGGTGTTGGGCATGGTGGGGTGGTTCAGAGCTAAACTCTGCCACTTCCTGGGAGGCCTGTGCTGGCCGGGACTCCTGTTGGGCAGAGCACCGCTTAGGTTTGTCCTCTGATATTTCACCTGGGCATACTGAACAGGAAGGGGCAGTCTCCGTCTCTTGAGAATCAGTGGCCGGTGGGGGCTCCTTTTCATTATGAATCTGTGCCTTCACTTTTCATCAAGAATCACAAGCATGGACCCCCCTGACTACAGCCACCGCCCCGCTGTGCAGGGCTCCTAGGGTGGACTCCGGGCTCCTCCAATCTGGGGGCTGGGCCAGGGTCCCGGACAGGGACTCGCACCAGGCCAGCTGGGTCCCTGGAGGCGTGGGCCGGCCTCTCATGTTCAGCTACCGACTTTATATTCCTCCTTCAGGTAATAGCCTAAATATTACTGGCACTGATATTCCTTCCTCTGAGGCCAAGTTGGGTCCTCTTGGCTCCTATAGGTCTCATGGCATTCCTTGTAGCACTCACCAGACTGATAAGACATGTGTCATTACAGTGTCAGTGTGAGGTGCTGCGAGTTTCATGCGGGTAGAAACCATGGATGTCACATTTCTGTTGTAGGATTGAGTCTGGCACAATGCTTAGTTCATAGTTGACACTGAATGAATACATGAATATTTGTTTAATTAACCAATAAATGGATGATTTTGACATTAACCCCCCTCTATGTTTATTACTTTATATTCCTTGAGCTTAGTTCCTTGTTCTTTTGGAAGTTCTAACGCCTTTCTTAACAATCTGAGTTTTTTTAATATTAACTCTTTGTCATATTTAGCAGTTTCCCCCCCAATTTGCTGTGTGTCTGTTTTGTTTTGTCTTACCTCTTAAGAAGCACCTTTACTGCCTCTAAACATCCATGCATTGCTGGAAGAAAAGAGTTGGGAATTAGAGCTTTTTAGCACAACATAAGATGTTCTTGTCCCCTGGGTCCCCACTCTTCTGGCTATGGTTTACAGGAGAGTCCTTTAATACAGTTACTCATGCTGTGGTGACCCCGAATCATAAAATTATTTTCGTTGCTACTTCATTACTATCATTTTGCTACTGCTATGAATCAGGCGACCCCTGTGAAAGGGTTGTTCGATGCCCAAAGGGGTCGTGACCCACAGTTTGGGAACCACCGCTCTATCGTGATCCTGATCAGAGTAGTCCGTAGTAGTAACTTGGAGTTCTGGTGTCAGGGTAGTGCTTGGGCTGCCGTTTTGCGGTCTATTAGCCCTATGAACTACTTGTCTCCTTGAACCTTTTATTTTCTTTGTTCCAGGAAGAGACCAATAGTTGTGTCTTAGATGGCAGCTCCCAAGCACTTAAGATCTCAGCGGCTACTGAGTAAAACATTGTCTTTGTGGAGTGTGTTATGCTAATTGACCTACTGGTCACTGAGACTCAGGTCCCAAGCCCTCAAGCCCAATGGCTCATTCCCTCAAAGTGTTTGGCTATATCCCTAATGAATATCTTGTCACAGCAATTTTGATTTTTTAAAATTAAAAACGATCTAGAAGTAAAGGATTCAGAGTTAAGGAAAACTATTTCGAACAATGAAAACGGAACTCCCAATTTGAGATGATCACTTGCTGTGTGTCACCATGTTGATTCTGACGCATAGTGGCCCTACATGACCGACTGAAACTACCCCACGGGGCTCAGGGCTGTAATCCTTTTTTTTTTTCCTTTGTTCATCTTTTTATTTTATTTTATTTTATTTTCTCTTTTTTAACATTTTATTAGGGGCTCATACAACTGTTATCCCAATCCATGCACACATCAATTGTGTAAAGCGCATTTGTACATCGTTTCTCAAAACATTTTCTTTCCATTTAAACCCCCGACATTAGGTCCTCATTTTTCCCCTCCCTCCCCGCTCCCCCCTCCCGCATGAGCCCTTGATAGTTTATAAATGGGTATTTTGTCATATCTTGCCCTGTCCGACATCTCCCTTCATCCACTTTTCGGTTGTCTGTCCCCCAGGGAGGAGGTCACACACAGTTCCATGTAATCGGTTCCCTCCTTCCTACCCATTCTCCCTTTACCCTCCCTGTTTTGCCACTCACACCACTGGTCCTATAGGGCTCATCCATCCTGGATTCCCAGGGCTGTAATCTTTATGAAAGATCGCGACATCTTTCTCCTATGCATGTCTGTTAGGTTCAATCCACTGACCGTTAAGTTCACTTCTGAGGATTGAACCACCGTACCACCAGGGCTCCTTAGGTACAGATATTGATTGACAGCTTCAGAAACTCACCGGGGCAGTTCTATTCTGTTCAACAGGGTCACTGTGAGTTGGAATTGACTTGGCGGTAATGAGTGAGTGATACTGATTTGGGCTGCTAACTGAAAGGTCAGCAGTTCAAACCCATCAGCTGCTCCAAGGGAGAAAGATGAGGCTTTCTCTCTCTTTTTTTCCCTTTCTTTCAATTATTGGAATTATTTGATGGATATTTTATTTTTTTTAATTAATCATTTTATTGGGGGACTCTTACAAATCTTATGACAATCCATCATTTACTTGTATTAAGCACACTTGAACATATGTTGCCATCAACATTTCCAAAACTCTTTCTACTTGAGCCCTTGTTATCAGCTCTTTTTACCCTTTGATCAATTACATATTATTGTTGTTATTTTGTGTCTTACAGTCTGTTGTCTCTCTTCATCCACATTCCTGTTATTCATCCCCCTCATTGGGGGGTGCCTATATATCCAACCTTGTGATGGGTTCCCCCTTTCTCTGACCCCCTCATCTCCCTACCCTCATGATATTGCTATTCCCACTAGTGTTCCTGAGGGTTTTATCTGTCCTGAATTCCCTGTGTCAAGAGCTCTTATCTGTACCAATGTGCGTACTGTGGTGTAGCCGGATTTGTAAGGTAGAACTGGGTCCTGGTAGTGGGGGTGGGGTGGGGCGGGGGAGAGGAAGCATTCAGGAACTAAAGGAATGATGTGTTTCATCGGTGCTATACTACACCCTGTTGGATTGTCCCTCCCTTGCAACCTTTGTGTGGGTGATGTTCAATTGCCTACAGATGGGTTTTGGGTCTCAACTTCAACCCACCTCTGTCACATCAATATAACTGTTTGTTTTAGATTTATTTTATTTTATTGGGAGCTCTTACAGTTCTTATCACAATCCATACATATATCCCAATTCTACTTTACAAATCTGGCTAGACCAGAACATGTACACTGGTACAGATAAGAGCTTGCAACACAAAGAATCCAGGACAGGTAAACTCCTCAGGACCCATAAGGAGAGTAGCGATACTAGGAGGGTAAGGGGGGTGGGTGGGGGGACAAGCGGGGACAGATCACAATGATCTACTTACAACCTCCTCCCATGGGGGCGAACAACAGAGAAGTGGGTGGAGGGAGACAGCAGTCGGTGTAAGACATGAAAAAAAAAATTATCAAGGGTTCATGGGGGAGGGAGGCTGGGGGAGGAAAGGTAAAAAAGAGGAGCTGATACCAAGGGTTCAAGTAGAAAGAAAATATTTTGAAAATGACAATGGCAACATATGTACAGATGTGCTTGACACAATATATGTTTGGATCTTTTTATACCTGATCCTGTCGACACCTCATGATCACACAGGCCGGTGTGCTTCTTCCATGTGGGCTTATTTGCTTCCCTGCTAGAGGGCTGCTTGTTTAACTTCAGAGGCTTTCTACTTTCATAAAGATTTACAGTCTTGGAAATCCAAAGGAATAGTTCTACTCTGCCTTATAGGGTCACTCTGTGTTAGAACTGACTTGATGGCAGTGGGTTTTCTGATGTATTTATTTACAGGACGAGTTCTGGGGAGGTGTTGCTGAGGATATAACGTAGTATAGTTTCCTCCTAGTCTTGGCAGTAATACTGTGATGCTGAGGATGAAGCAAATACCAATGGCCAGTCATTCTGTACTAACTATGTGTCAAGCATTATGCTAATACCATGGGCATCAATACTGTCATGGTTTTGCTGATGAGGTAACTTGCTCAAGAGAAAGACTGAATTCCTTGCCTAAACTCAAAGACTCAGTAAGGGACCGAACCAGCTTATCATCCAATTAGGGAGGCTAAGTGAACTATATTTGAAAAGTTAATTAGCACAAGAAAGAAGCAGCACGCAGAGAGCCACATTACATTAACTTTAGAAACACTCCTATCTGTTCAAATATCACAAAACAACTCAGTCCCTGCCCTTTATTGTTCCAAATAAAGGGGAGGTGGGGATGGGGAGTCCCCCCAAATAGTGACTTGACCTCGCTGGTGCTCTGCAGTGCAGGGGGAAACATGGGGCACGTGTGGGCCTGCATCCCTGCAGAGTTGGGGGCCATACATACCTGCAGTGTGCAGCGGAGTTCTTAGAATTCTGCTCTCTGTCTTCCAGGCAGTTGGGGAAACAGACAGCAAGTACTGCAGGATCAAAGGGTCTCCTTCCCGGCTGGCAATGTGGAAGCTGTTCCAGCCGTCTTTGTTCTTCAGGAGTGGATTGGCGCCACGTTCCACAAGGTCTTGGATCACCCCGATATTATTTCTTGTGCACGCCATCATTAGAGGAGTCCTGAAGCCAATTCAAAGAAGCCGTCAGGTGAGCGGAGGCAGGGAGGGGTGTCTCAGACAGATGAAGTGAGCGGCCAAGTGTTTAGAAAAAGAGACAGATTTGGCACGAAGAACACCTAGAGGAAGCAGGCGTGGGAAGCGTGAAAACCGCTCTAACAACGGATCTGCCTGCTGTGAGGAGCCAGGGGGAAATAACCAGGGGAAAGTGATGGTGATGTATGTGTACCCATGGGAGTGGAGTACTCAAGAGGCAAACCTGCCTCTGACCTAGCTCCTGGCAGAACACTGAGTTGGAGAGAAAAGTAATAAAAGCAACAGGTACTTAGCCTGAATGACATTTGTACGAGGCACTCTGCTGAATTTTCCTATTCACTTCAATCAATATCCAGTTATTAATTAAATTGGACTGAAGAGGAGTTATAACAGAGCAGGTGAGCACCCTCATGTTCACGGTAGCATTATTTACAATAGCAACAAGATGGAAATAAACTATGTGTCCATCAACGGGGAGGGGGGACGGACACAATGTGGAACACACATGCAGCAGTGGACGATGGAATGATAGAGGATAATGGTCCGTCTGCAAAACATCCAAAAACCTGGATGAATCTAGAGGATGTTATGCTGAGGGAAGTAAATCAATCACAAAGGTCAAACAATGTATGACACCATTTTTACAGAAAGTCAAGAACAAGTTTATACACACAAAGCAACATTCTTTGATGGCTACCAAGGATGGGGGGGGGGGGGGAGAGAATCACTTACTAGGTATTCAAAAAAACTAAACTCACTGTCACTGAGTCAATTCTGACTTATGCCAAGCTTATGTAGGACAGAAGAGGATTGCTCCTACGGTTTCCAAGACTTGAAATCTTTACGGGAGTAGATAGCCTTCCACTGACTTATTCATTTTCTATAATTTATTTCTAGGTTCTAATATCCACTGTGATGGCTACACAGAACTCACAGATAAGAGTCATGATTAAGGAGCTTATTAAGAAAGTTGTAAAATTGTAATGCCAGTGAGGAATGCTCAGAGTTTATCAAAACATGTTACCAAGCTCTGTCAAGGCTGCTAACAAATGCCCAATGGGCATGCCACTCTGCTATGAGGCTCAATCCTAAGGCATTCGGCTCAAGCTCCGTGGGTCAGCAAACCCAGCATCCTGAATTTAGTGCCCAGAGGCACCCACTTCACACGCCAGCCTCCTGCACAAAAGCACTCAGCTTTATTTGCTTTGTGAGTTGGGAAGTCCATGCCTCTGTTCCATGTTCTGCCTCCTGGTCCTGTGGCTGCTCCTCTGATGGTATCGCTGTCTCCTGGATCCAGGAGGTTCACTGTGCAGGGATCCTCAGCTCCAGAGGATGCACTCCACTCCTGGCTCTTAGTGGTAATGAGATCCCTCTTCCTGCTTCTTATAAAACAGCAGGATGGCCCTCCTGGGTATCCTGTTCACAATGACTCACCGGTGAACCCTATCAATACCTTCCCCATCCTTTTAGCAGACCCAGGCAGGAAAGGTCATTTGGGGGGAGTTAGAGACGTTGGCTAGAAGAGCCACTTTAAATGATTCACTGCCCCTACAACCACTTCTGTCCATCCTTCTTTCCTGTCCCTTCCTGCCTTCTGAGTCTTATCCCTGCACACGTGTCCTTTTCATCTCGTATGACAGATTGTTTCAAGCAGGTGTACTTCCTTACCTTGGTATGACTGTTCACCCTCCAGGCCTATCGTTTGTTTGGCTGATGTGGGGCCAGCCCACAACGGAGACGGTCCTATGGAGCAGTTGTGAAATTGAAGGGAAAGAATAGAGACAGACAAAGAATTTAGGGGGCTCACTTCTTCCATGAAGCCAGGAACGAGCGAGAGAGAGAGAGAGAGAGAGAGAGAGAGAGAGAGAGAGAGAGAGAAAGGATATGTATTCTCCAACAGGTATATATAGTTTTGGAGCTAGCAAACCTTATCAATCACAGTCAATCACATACATAATAAGGTGGGCAGTGTCTTACCCCAGACAGCTCTGGGCTCATTGGGGGAGAAGCCTAATACGAGCACTGGAGGCAGGTGGAGGGGAGTCCAACTACCTCTAGAGCAGGGAGAGCAATAGCAACATGTCTGCTCTTATGCACAGATGGCCTCTGGCTGCATAGAGATCAGCCATGTGTGTGTAATAGGTACCATTAAAATACTACTATTATGTGGGGGGGGGTGCTATTGTGGGGAATGCTTTTTAATTAGGAGAATATGACTGGGATTAATCTCCAACTCACACATGTGAAGTCCTCCCTCCTCCAGAATCCCGGCCTTCTAGGCTTCTTAATTATGAGACTAGAGAATTTGTCCACATACATCCTCTTCCCAGTCCTCAGTTTCCCACCGGCTGAAAGTTGAGCACTGGGGATGAGTTCTATTTCAGGCTTAAAGGACTATATTCTCAGGGGCTTCACCAGTTTCTCTCAGACCAGTAAACCTGGTATTTCATAATATATTGAATGTTGCTGTACATCTTCCCTCCACTGTATCCAGGGGTCAGCAATGGGAGCTTGGCACTATCTAGTTCTGATCTCGGGGTCCTTCGACCATTGTTTCCATGCATGTTGGACTTTCTTCAACCCTCTTTGCTCTTGGTGAGAAGAGGCCAATAGTAGCACCTTACATGGCCACTTACAAGCTTTTAAGACCCCAGTCACTACTCATCAAAGTGGAGAATAGAAAGAACACTTCTCTCGATGCTAATTGAAGTTTAAGTCCCTGCAACTATGCATGGTCTTTGAACTGCCAAATCATTAGGTTGGCCCAAGCTCACTGTCACCAACCTACCCATAAGGTGGAGTAAAACTGACTCGTGCGTTTCTGAGGTTGTGAATGTTTACAGGAGCACCAAGTCTCATCTTTCTCCTGTGGTTCAACTGGTGGGTTTGAACCACCTACCTTGTGGTTAGTAGCCTAACACGTAACCCACTACACCACCAGAACTCTGATAGTTGAGTGCAAAAACCACATGCACCATGGAGAAACCAAGATATATGAGGGCTAGAATCCTTGGGAAGGGCTTCACAGAGACAGTGGATCTTGAAGAAGGAAAGATAATTGGAAAAACTGAAGAAGGTACTTTATAAAAACAAGAATATGGGATAAGCAAAATGAATCACTATGACAATACCCCCAGAAATGAATATTGTTTCTCTTAATGAATTTCTTTTTCAAAATAGAACTATTTTGAGGAGTGCAGTGCTATGAATTGCTTGACATGGCTCTTCTAGCCAGAGTCTTTGTAACTTCCATCACATGATTAGGTAGGGCTATGTACATAGGAGGTACTTGTGACTCACCAAAGGGATTGGAGAGCTTGCTAATAATGTGAATGAGGCCCATGGCACCCTGGTAGGTTGGGACCATGCAAATGAGGTATATGGAAGGCATATGTGGCGATCAGCCAATTTTGCCATCCTGCTAGATTTAAAGTGAGGCATCTTGGAAGTGGAGGGGGAGAGCTCACAACTATTAAGAAAACAGAGACAGAAGAGGAGTGTGACCCCAGATCCCTGCATTGAATCTCCTAGTTCCAGAAAACAGAGCTCTATGCCATCAAAGATAGCATGAGCTAGAAGGGGTGGCAGAGAAGCAGTAGCAGTGGCAGCAGCACCAGGAGGTGGTACAGTGGACTTGCAAGAAAGCCGAGTGTCTTCAGGCAAAAGATTTGCTAGTGGAGTAGAGGTGAGTACTTTGACAGAACTAAAAGAGCTTTGCAACACTTGCCAGAGCAGGGCAGGGGCCATGCTGACACTCTCCTAACTGAAGAACTGTATCTTGAGCATAGCGGATCCTGACTTGTAACCTGTTAACTTCCATATACTCCAGCATCATGAGTCTTGCCTGTGAGTTCTTTGTGGCTACTGCAGAGAAGTAGGGAGTACCATGGGAGGAATAATTGGTATCAGACTTGGTGACGGTTGGAGGGTGGAGGCATTGTGACCTCAGTTTCATAGGAATTGGTCTTGAGTTGATGCTGATAGTGATGGACACCCCCCCACCCCACCCCCCACACACTGTGAAATCAGAGGAGGTCAGATGACACCACCCCACACCATTTCTTCAAGGAGTATGTGAGATAGTGTTTCTTGGAACCGCCTTTCAACAAATTTACCAGCAGCACAAGAAAATTCATTTTTATGTTTAGTTGCAGTTATTTTCTATGGGCCAAATGGTAACTCTGAAAACAGAAATACATCGACATCCCCACCCAAGTGGCTGCCTCCAGCGGTTTTTGTTATGTCAGGCCAGGAATACTTGCAGCAGGAACTCCATTGTGTTATGGACCTCAAGGGGCTCAAAACCTCTAAGGAGCCTGACAGCACTGAAAATAACGTCCATCTAGCGAGCAAATTGCAGTTGGTTTTTGGTGCTGGTGCACTGGAGTATCTTGTTTGGTGGTGGAAGTTATGCACAAATGTTTCTTTGAGGACTACAGTGTGCCCGCCTTAAGCCACGGCATTTCCAATCACTTCATCTTCTTGCAAACACTGGACGAGGAATAAGGAAGATTGAAGACCAAATGATGCCTTTGCACTACGGTGTTGGCGAAGAATATTAAATATGCCAGGGGCTGCCAATTCTCTTTTAGAAAGACAACCAGAATGCTCCTTTGCAATGAGGAAGGTGAGACTTTGTCTCATGTATCCCGAGCATGTGATCAGGAAACACCAGTCCCTGGAAGATCTCATGCTGGGCAAAGTAGACAGTCAGTGACAAAGAGGAAGAGCCTTCACAAGATGTGTGGACACACTGGCTGTAACACTGGACTGAAACATAACCATTGTGAGGATGGCCCAGGCCCAGGCCCAGGCAGTGTTTCATTCTGTTGTGCGTAGGGGTTGCTAGGAGTCAGAGCAGGCTCAAGGGCATTCAACAGTCACAAAGGGGAAGGGCATCACTGACCAAATCTACTCACTACTTCAACATTAAAAGTTTAAAAAATGCAACTCACTGCCATGGAGTCAATTCTGACCCATCGTGACCCTAAAGGACAGGGCAGAACTGCCTCTGGGTGTTTCCAGGAGTGTGGACTGGCCCAAAGCATAACCCAATGTGGTTCCTTCAAAAATGCACCTGGCAAGGCAGTAATTTAGCTAGATGTTCCCAGAGCAGCACCGCATCCTGGAATTCATACGCTATGTAGTACACAGAATTCATCGTTTGATTATGTCTATCTGCTATGTTCTCTGCTACATAAAAGGAAATGGTTGCCCAGAACAAACAGTTACTATCACAGGAATAGAAATAATGCCAGTTGCTGAGTGGTAATGTCACCACAGGGCAAGATGATCAATCCTGCCACTGAACAAGGAAAGCTATGGCGTAGAGAACAAGCCCTGGTGGCATAGTGGTTATAGGTTGGGCTGCTAACCCCAAGGTCAGCAGTTTGAAACCATTAAGTCCTCCACAGGAGAAAGAGGAGGCTTTCTCCTCCCTCAGAGAGCTGCAGTCTTGGAAACCTACTTGTACAGTTCTACCCTATCCTGTACCCTATCCTATAGGGTCACTGGTTAGATGCCAGACCCCTAATAGCGTTCTGGCCAGGTGCTCTAGAGGGGAAAGGCAGTCTGTCTGCTTCCTTAAAGATGTACTCTCAGGCCCTGTATTAGGGCCGCTAAAAGTGGGAATACACTTGCTGACAGTGGATTGTTGGTTAATGGCATGGAAGGGGATGGCATACGAGTACCTGAAAACCTATGGTTTTATGAACGGCCTTTCTGGAAAGCACACCACCTACCAGTCCGCTTTCTTCAGGCAGTCGACGGCTGCTCCCCTGCCCAACAGATAGCACACACAGTCTCGATGGCCCTGGGAGGCTGCTTCGTGCAGAGGTCGCTTGTAGTCTCGGTTGGTGGCCTCGATGTCCATCTCCCAGACCTCAACCAGATAGGCCAGGATGTCCAGATGCCCTTGGCGGGCGGCGCAGTGCAGAAGGGTGTCCCCTGCTGGCCCCAGGCACCGCACAGCTGGACCTCCCATCCTCTGCAGCTCCTCCTGCAGGGTACGCAGCTGCCCTTCCAGTACCAGCCTGCAGAGCTGCCTAGGGCCCTGCTCGACTGCAGCTGTAGCCGCCTGGCGACTCCGGGGCGTGGCCATAGCAACACCAGGGTGGGAGTAGGGGTTGGGGAAGGGGGCGTACAGCGACCTCGCTTCAGCTTCCCGACCCGACCGAGGGTGGCCGCTGGAGACTGGATTCTCTCTCACCTGCACCAAGCCTCTGCAAACGGAGCTAGTGGGAGGCCAGCCGAGTAAGGGCTATTCGCCGCGGGTGTTATTCCAGCTGAGACACGGCTGAAGTCGCGGCTTCTTGCGGAGACACTCGCTCATTCGCAAGCCTGGTTTCCGCTTCCTGCACGTGATTTCTTCTCTGACACAACCGAGGACTCCCCCTGGAGCCTCGCCAGGTGCTGCCCTGCCAGCCGGCTGCTGTCCGGATTCTGTTCCCCAGAGTAGCCAGGCCCCACGGGAGGGGCCCCTCTCCCCACTTGACCCGTCTTCTGCCTCAAGTGATCGAGGAAAGCGCTATTTCCTAACACGGGAGACTCCTACCAAGGGATGAGAACGGGTGTTCTAAAAATTCGTTGTGAATTGCTGGTCTAATATAGCAAGTGATTATTTATATACAGTGAGTATTTATACAGAATCGCGCTAACGGAGAGGGTCTAAGACAATGAAGGGCGTGTACTCGGGTGTCTAATGTCCTTAAGTCGGATTCCTTTGGGTTAAACACACCAGGTAACAGTGGTGTGGGCTAGACAAGGAAGAAATAAAATCGTCGGACAGACATCTGGGAGGGTGGTGGGCACCCCCCCCCTCGGGGCCCTGCACGCTGCAGTAGCTGGGTGCCGAGCAAACACCGAACAGAGCACCCAAACTCTCCGTCCTCCAGTCCATTCAGCGACCCCCTGTTTTAAACGGCTCGCGGCTTTCAATGTGCCTACGTCTATCTGCTTTCACCCTCAAAACCGCTACGATTGGAAGGGTTATTGTGATTCTGTTTCCAGAAAAGGAAGTCAAGATCCAGAGGCCAGGGGCTTGTGCGAGCCTCAGACTATAATTTAGTTGTGTTCCCTCCGCCCACCCCCCTCCCTGCAAAGCCCACGAATGTTCCTTCCTGTGCCAATTGTCTGCACAGACATTGGTGGAAGCAAAGAATGAAAGGTGCCGCGGCAGTTCTTCGTCCCCACCCGTGCGCCACCCCAGGGAGTACACTTCTCAGCACGAACCGGTCGGGGTCCCTTCTCAATTACAGGGACCCCGTGCCTTTCCCGGCACCGTCCGTTTTTCACCCAGCCCAGACCCCCATCCCGGCCGCAGCCCCTCCGCGGGGACCCAAGGAGCTCAAAGGAACTCTGGGAAAGTTTCTACTCGCCTCCTCCGCCACTGGGAGAGCCCGAATGGGGCGTGGTCCGCTGGTGGGTGGCCGCGCCCCCTCCGGGCGGGCTTCCGATTGGCCGCACGAGCCGTCCGTCAGCTCCGGCGGTGGGCCCTTCCCGGGGTTGCGGCGGGGGGCGGAGCTCCCGGAGGAAGTCCGCGGAATTCTCGGGGCTCACCGTCGGGGCCGCGGGCGGATCTCGCGCTGCCCTGGGAAGGCTGGGACTGGGCGGCTGAGAGGCCCCGGCCCCGGCAGCCTCGGCGGCGGGGTCAGCGGCGGCGGGAGCCCGGCTCCGGAGTGCCATAGTGCGTGAGGCCACAGACGTGGCAGAGAACGCGGGCGGGGCTCTACCGTGTGGGAAACTTAACCTTTTGGGGTTTTGAGTGTGTGTGTGTGGGGGGGGTCCCGGCTTCAGGGGTCTTCGTGGGAGCGGGGCGGGCCTGGGATCCAGCGCGAGTGTTGGAAGAGGTTGGCTCGGCTGTGGGCGAGGTGCAGGGGCGCGGTGGGTGTGTACGGAGGAGGCCCGAGGGGGCGCCGAAGTCAGCTAGGGCTCCGGCCCGCGCCCCCAGACTGCTTCCCGAGGGCCCGGAAGGGGCAAGCTTGTAGCTTCTGGGGCTAGAGGAGACGTGGCCTTGGCTGCTGTCAAATCAGGGTTTTAATTTCTGCCCCGGTGTTTTGACCTTGGGCAAGTCATTTTATTCTATCCTTTTGCTCCTGTTTCCTTTGTAGCCTCGTTTCCCCTTACCTGGATATATATGTATTTTTAAAGATTAAGGTGTGATAGTAAGACCTTGAACTTTTGGAATCTGAGCAAGCTGGCTATATATATTAGAGGCATGATGGAAAAGATCCTTCGGGTAGGTGTTTGTTGCTTTAGTAGTCATTAAACTTGCTGGTGTTTTCCGATCCATTAGAGATAGAATGTGGAGGGTCAGCGAAAAAGAGGAAGACTTAAAGATTGACATAGTGGTTGCAACAGTGCCTTCTAACAGCAACTGAAAGGATGAGGAAGGCCCAACACTGTTTCCTTCTGTTGATCTTGGGTCTATGAGTCGGAACACCTAACAACAGGGATAAAGTGGAAGGTGCCTATATTTGTCAAGCGCAAAACAATGGTTTTCTTTAAGTTTTGTGTTGCCCGCTTTGGTGTTCAGAGCTTTTACATCTGTTATTGAATGCACATAACTGTAAGGCATCATTCTCATTTTATATGCGGGGAAATTAAGGCCTAAAGAGAGTAATGATTTCCCCAGAGACTTATAGATAACAAAGACCTGGGGAAGGAAGAACGGGAACATCCATTGACTGACTGAGTGCCTGGCACTGTGCTTAAATAAATTAATCAGAGAGAAAATGAAAAAAAAAAATCTGAGTTTGAGCCCGGATAAATCCATTTACTGATGAGCATATCAAATTTGGTTAACTTGTGAGTTTATATGGATAGTCATTGGAGACAGAACAGATACAAGTACCAACTTTGCCCTAATTCATGTTTCATTTTATCTCACCAATTCCAGAAAAAGAAAGCATACGCTTGCTTTACAATGCACCCTATGGGAGAGATGCTAAGAGAAAGAACTCCCTATAGGAGTTACTCTTTGAAACTCACAAGAGCAGTTTTACCCTGTCTTAAAGGGTGGCTGTGAATCAGCATCAACTGGGTGGCAGTAGAGAGATGCCAAACATTGTGCATACTGATGGTGTTGAGGTTGGTGCAGAGTGGAAGTTGAGCCGTCTGGTACCTTCATGCTCACTCTGCTGCTAATGCTTGCCCCTTTCCCACTTGACCAAGGACTCCACTTTCTCCGGCCTTCTGCCTCCAGTCTCCCTGTTTTTGTTTTTAAATGAAAATTGAGACCCATGAACTGAAAACAATTGAAATTCTGGATGACTGGTTTCATAATTGATGCTCCAAATCCAATTCTTTTTCTCTGGTGGCGGCACAGTGGTTAAGCACTTGGCTGCTATCTCAGAGATCCATGGTTTGATTCCACCAGCTGCTCAGTGGGAGAAAGGTGCGGCAGTCTGCTTCCATCAAGATTTATAGCCTTGGGAACTCCATGGGACAATTCTACTCTGTGCTGTAGGGTTGCTGTTAGAATAGACTCAATGGCAATGGTTTTATTGTTGACATTTTCCCATAACTCTTTGAATTCATTTTAGACAGTCCTTTGAATGTCTAGATAAGAAAGTATGTAGATCGGTCCCACAGACCCCATGACTTTCCTGGGCACAAATTTGGTCTGTTGTTTATGTTAGGTACTATCAAGTCATTTCCATTCACAGTGACCCTGTGTTCAACAGAACGCAACACTGCCCAGTCCTGCACCATCCTCACAATTTTTGTTATCTTTGAGCCCATTGCTACAGCCACTGGGTCAATCCATCTCATTGAAGGCCTTCTTCTTTTTCACTACCCCTCCACCTTAGCAAACTTGATGCCCTCTAGGGATCGGTCTGTCTTGAATATGTCCAAAGTGTGTGATTCGTAGTCTTGCCATCCTTGCTTCTAGGGAACATTCTGGCTATACATCTTCGAGACAGATCTGTTTGTTCTTTTGGCAGTCCATGGTACTTTCAGTATTCTTTGAGCCCTAACATAGTGAGTTATATGTTGGACTGTGAACCTCAAGGTCAGCAGTTCGAAGCCCTCAGCCACTCCTTGGGAGGAAGATGAGATTTTCTACTCCTGTAAAGGATTAAAGTATTGGAACCCCACTGGAGCAGTCCTACCCTGCCCTTTGGGTCATTGTGCATAGTACTCAACTAGATGGCAGAGAGTTGTAAACTTGGTCCAGAGAAGAGAAATCTACATAATAATTTACTAAGTGGGGCTATTTCTGGGATCTTAGGCTGCCTGTTCTTTGGCCTTTACTGTCTTATTTTCCATGTTGCCCTCATTGGTGTGAGTTGGTATCTGACTGCTTTCCACTCTTTAGGTTGTTTTACTTTAGGTAACTTCCAGCTCTGGTCATTGGCATCAGTCATGATCATTTGAGATATTGAGTGTGCATTACAGAAAACTATTGGTATTAGACTTAGATCACTAATTTCTGTAGTTTTTTTTTTTCCAATTTTCTGCTTATCTGTCTCTTTCCTGCCTAGGCTGGCTTTATGAAATTGGTCTTTGGTCTTTCAGCTGTGAAATCACAAGCTTCTACAAATTTATACACCACCAGTCTTCTACTAAGGAGCCCTTGTAGACATAGTGAGCTTATAAACATTTCAAGTCTTGGAAACCCAAAGGGGCAGTTCTATTCAATTCTCTACTGTTTTTATAAATTAGAATCAACTCAATGGCACTAAAAGTCATCAACTGCCATTAACATGCTTTTGAGGACCAGTATCATTTTTCAAAGTACGTGATATTCCACAGATACCTTTAAAGAAAACAAGACACACAATTACTGCAAAATAGAAAACTGGCAAGCCTCACTTTCACTCTAGGAAAAAGTGATTAAAACAAAACCACTATTTTGATTTACTTTTTATCAAGGTTGGTAGCATTCCTTCCATTCCCTGTTAGAAACAGACTAAGAAGCCCTAGACATACTTATTTGTTCCAAGCCGTACTTGTTTGTTACAATAACTGGATGCTGTTTTTCAAAGGAGGAGTAGATCTTGGCAAGGTCCAAGTGAGAAGAGCTTAGAGAAGGTGAAGCCCTTGAACTTGGGAGTTTTAGATACATAGCAAAACAGGATGTGGCAACTGATATGGCCAGGAGGGAACTGGCTTTGCATCGAAAAGCAAATACTTGAGGAAGGAGCTAGAGCCATGCTGCTTTCTTCCCGAGTTTGTTTCTTTTAAAAACAATCATTTTATTGGGGGCTCATACAACTCTTACACAATCCACACATACATCAATTGTGTAAAGCACATTTGTACATTCATTGCCCTCATCATTCTCAAAACATTTGCTCTCCACTTAAGCCCCTGGCATCAGTTCCTCACTTTTCCCCCTCCCTTCCCGCTTCCCCCTCCCTCACGAACCCTTGATAATTTATAAATTATTATTTTGTCATATCTTACACTGCCCGGAGTCTCCCTTCACCCACGTTTCTGTTGTCGGTCCCCCAGGTAGGAGGTCATATGTAGATCCTTGTAATCGGTTCCCCCTTTCTACCCCACCCTCCTTTCACCCTCCAGGTATTGCCACTGCCACCACTGGTCCTGAAGGGATCATCCACCCTGGAATCCCTGTGTTTCCAGTTCCTGTCTGTACAGTGTACATCCTCTGGTCTAGCCAGATTTGTAAGGTAGAATTGGGATCATGATAGTGGGTGGGGAGGAAGCATTTAGGAACTAGAGGAAAGTTGTATGTTTCATTGTTGCTACACTGCACCTTGACTGGCTTGCCTTCTCCCCATGACCCTTCCAGAAGGGGATGTCCAATTGCCTACAGATGAGCTTTGGATCTCCACTCTGCACTCTCTCTCATTCACAATGATATGACTTTTTGTTCTGATGATGCCTATACGTGAACCTTTCGACACCTCGTGATTGCACAGGCTGATGTGCTTCTTCCATGTGGGCTTTGTTGCTTCTGAGCTAGATGACTGCTTGTTTACCGTCAAGCCTTTAAGACCCCAGACGCTAAAACTTTTGATAGCCGGGCACCGTCAGCTTTCTTCACCACATTTGCTTATGCACCTGCTTTGTCTTCAGTGAGCATGTCAGGAAAGTGAGCATTATGCCAGTTTATAGAACAAAGTATTCTTGCATTGAGGGAGTACTTGAGTGGAGGCCCAATGTCCATTTGCTACCTTAATACTAAACCTATAAATATATGCACATAGTACTTAATACTAAACCTATAAATATATGCACATCTTCATATATAAATACATTTACATATGTACATGCCTTTATTTAGGCCTCTATAAATGCCCTTTGCCTCCTAGCTCTTTCCTCTATATCCTTTTACTTTCCTCTTGTCTGAGTTTATTACTTATGGAGAAATAATGTCTTGAGTTTATTTCTTGTTTATTGTCTGAGTTTATTTCCACTATCATGTCTGAGTTTATTTCTTATGGAGCAAATAGGGAGAGACTAGTTTGAAATTTTTCCATTTTTGAGTCTACATTAAGTGGCACTTTCTTATGGCTAAGTTTTAAAAACACGTGTTATTAAACTTTGATGCTAGCATTTCACAACAATGAAAAGGCATGTAGTCCCTCCCCCACACGCTCCCACCACCCCCCCATTAAACTTGAGCTTTTTAGACACTGCTTTAAAGCTTTCTGGATATAGAGGGGAAGATGTACAAAGAACACTGGACCCAAAGGATGAGAACAAATCCTATTCTTAATGCTGGAGCCAGCACTTAGAAGCTATGCTGTGACTTTTTAGAAAGTCTTCTCTGCGCCTGGTGGCAGAGTGGTTATGTGTTGACTGTTAATCCCAAGGTAGCCACTCTGCCGGAGCAAAGTGAAGCTTTCTACCCAAGAAGAGTTAGTGTCTTGGGAATCCACAGGGGCAGTGCTACCTTGGCCGCAGGGCTGCTAGGAGTTGGAATGCACTCTGTGGCAATGAGTTTGGTGCCTGGTGCTCGAGTTTAATGATTATGCGGGAGGAGGACAGGAAGAGGCAAAGTGGGTTTTGTCAGAAAACCCCAAACTCTCCATTTCACAGTGGCTTCTTTAGAAATTGTTTTGCCATAAAGATGATACGAATGAAGCCAGGTAAAATGGAACAAATGAGGAAGCAAAAAACCCCCAAACAAACTTTTCATTGTGACTTGAGTAAGGGTCACAGAAAATCGGCAGTGCTCCAATCAACAATTTCATACCCATTTTATTTCATATCATTGATTACAATGTAACATCATTTACCCCACTTCCTCCATGGACTTCCTGTTTCTCCTTTCCTGCCCCTGCTGCACTTTGTCCTTGGGTAAATGCTGCCCATTTGATCATAAATGGTTGATTCTTCTAAGGTGTGCACTCGACACTAGTGCTATTATTCCCCTTATGGAAACCTGACTATTTGTTTATAGTCACATACTTTTCACTTGACAAATATTTAAATATCTTCGAGGGAAGTTCAAAAAGTTCCTGGGAAATTTTCATAATCTTTTCATTTTTCCAGAAACATTTTACAATGGCTGGTTCAGATGAGACGAAAGGTTGAGGGTAGCAGAGATACGAGGCTCCAAGGAAAGGGGGCCACTGGAGCAGTAATGCCGTATGTGTGACAGTGCAGGAAAAACAAACGCAGTATGGGAATGTGTTTCCAGGAGCCTGGGCAAAATTCTGTTTGACAAAATTCTTTTTCAGATATTGTCAGAGTGATATGACACATTTCTATTAGTTACCATGGGAAAGCGTCTCCAAAAGAGGTACAAATATATCCAATTTGCTATAGAGGAGATCCATTTGAGCATATTTGGGGGCTTTGGATAATTCAAAAAGCTCCACCAGTGATACTTTCTCCATGCAGAAAAATATCTGGTTCAGATACAACGTCCCTCTACGTATGTATGATTTTAAGACATACTAATAAGAGTAGACAGGTGATTTAAACTTTAGCATAGTTTTAAAAATAACAGCAAGTATATTATGCTATTAAAATATAACAGACCCGTAATCTTCTATTATTTTAGTTAATAGAGAAAGGTCTTGCCAATTTCATCATGGATGTCACTAAGTACTTTCTTTTTTGTTTTTTAATCATTTTATTAGGGGCTCATACAACTCTTATCACAATCCATACATACATCAATTGTGTAAAGCACATTTGTACATTCATTGCCCTTATCATTCTCAGAACATTTGCTCTCCACTTAAGCCCCTGGCATCAGCTCCTTATTTTTCCCCTCCCTCCCCACTCCCCACTCCCGCATGAGCCCTTGATAATTTATAAATTATTATTTTGTCATATCTTGCCCTGTCCAACGTCTCCCTTCACCCACTTTTCTGTTATTCGTCCCCCAGGGAGGAGGTCACATGTAGATCCTTGCAATCGGTTCCCCCTTTCCAACCCACTCTCCCTCTACACTCTGAGCATCGCCCCTCTCACCACTAGTCCTGAAGGGATCATCCTCCCTGGATTCCCTGTGTTTCCAGTTCCTATATGTACCAGTGTACATCCTCTGGTCTAACCAGACTTGCAAGGTAGAATTCGGACCATGATAGTGGGAGGAGGGGGGGGGGAAGCATTTAGGAACTAGAGGAAAGTTGTATTTTTCATCATTGCTACGTTGCACCCTGACTGGCTCGTCTCCTCCCCAAGACCCCTCTGCAAGGGGATCTCCAGTGGCCTACAAATGGACTTTGGGTCTCCACTCTGCAGCCCCCCTCATTCACTATGGTAAGATTTTTTGTTCTGATGATACCTGTTACCTGATCCCTTCGACACCTCATGATCGCACAGGCTGGTGTCCTTCCATGTGGGCTTTGTTGCTTCTGAGCTTGATGGCCGCTTGTTTATCTTCAAGCCTTTAAGACCCCAGACGCTGTATCTTTTGATAGCCGGGTACCATCAGCTTTCTTCACCACATTTGCTTATGTACCCATTTGTCTTCAGCGATCATATATCATGGAGGTGAGCACACGATGATATGATTTTTTTGTTCTTTGTCACGAAGTGCTTTCGTGTAGATTATCTCACTTGAATTTAATGACTATCTTATGAATTCAATATGGCAGTTATTATCTCCATTTTTAATTTTTATTGGGAGCTCTTACAGATAATTATGACAATCCATAATTGAGTTAGATCAAGCATAATTTTACAGTTGCTACCACCATCAGTTTCAAAATATCTCAATTTTTACAGGGAAAGGAACCAGGGCTTTCAGTGATGAAGTAATGTACTTCCCAAGTGGAAGAGATCTTTTGTCTCTAAATTTTAACATACCACACTGTCGTTCATCCACAGGGAGGGTAAATGATTGGTTTGACGTCAAGAAATAGGTATGAAGACAAGACCCAGGGTTCCTGGCTCCCACGGTACTTCATCTCTTGAGACATGAGAGGCAGAAAAAAAGGTTTGAAGGTTTTCTGACCACTAACTGAAATCAGAAACATAATTTAACATAGGTTTACAATCCAATAAGAGTTAATGCTACTTCTCAGTCAAGCAGTCATAACCTTGGTGCATTCCTTCCAAATGTACACTGTAAACCCTAACCAGACCTATTGCTGTGCGTTGGATCCCAGCTTGTAGCAGCCATCCTGGACAGATGGGAACTGCTCCATCACAGGGTTTCCACGGCTGAACCTCGTTCAAGAAGCGGATGCTGTGTCCTCTTTCTGATGGGACTCCAGCAACTGAACTTTCAGTTAGCAGGTCACTGCCTAACTCACTGCATCCATATAGGCAATATATATTACTACACCTAATCCAGATCTCCCAGTCTGTGCACCCTCCCCCTCAGCTTGTTCTCTCTAGCTCCTCCCTTGATGACTTCATGCCAGAATAGACTAGAATATACTAGAGCTTTCTGGAAGCAGAGCACTGTGTTCCATTCCCAGTATCTTTCTTTGACTCAGTGTCTTTGCTATATCTGCAAACATGTAATCTTAGCAAACATGTAAAATTCAGATTTTATAAAATAAATTCATAAATCGATGCCTTGTTCATATTACCTACTTTTTCCTCAATTCCTGTTGAGTATTTTTCCATTTTCTCTTGTCTGTCTGATGTGATCCTTTAAGAAAGTATCCCCATGTAGTCTGCCCTTGCCAAGTTCTACAAAAAGGCTGTTCTACAAAAGATGTGTAGTGATCTAGGGCATAGGCTCCTATACCACCCAGCCTTATCACTTTTACCGTATCCTCTGAAACTTCCTTCATTCACTCAGTATTTACTGGATGTGCACAGTGGGGCTGGCATTATGCTAGGTGCGGAGGCTACAGCAGGGCAAAATATCCAGTGGTTTTTCACCTTCCTAGAGCACACGCACCGTCTTCTTTACTATTGGGCATACTATTAAGACATTAGTATCTAGTTGATGTTTGTCATTGCTGTCTCACAGTGTTTATTATCAGGTTGCTATTGTATTCGGGGAAGGCTAGAATAAAGCCATTCTCTCTCTTTTTTCTTAATAGAAAAGAGTTCTAAGGTTCATCTGGCATGTATTAATACCTCCAGTTTATTATGAAAATTTGCTGTTAACTTATGTCTTACAGAATTTCCCCCACAAAGCTGAATTTCAGGCCATCTGATAGTTTTTGAGCTTGTGGTGCTGAGGAATAAATAGTGGGCTACTGCCTGCAAGCTCAGTGGTGGTTCAAATCACCTGCCGCTGGTGGAAAGATTACCTTTCAGAAACCCTATCTAGGGTCGCAGTGAGTCTCAACGGCCGAGGTGTGACGGGTAGATTTGCATGCGTACCTTCACCTTCAAGTAAGGGATTTTCTGTGCTGATAGCTTTTCTTGACTTTCTCTGTTTCTCATTAAACACTGTAGACTTGATAGCTCTGGAACAATTGGGACTGTTTGAAGAGAGAAAAGTTGCAGAGATAAGTCAGCTGTCTTAGATCTACAGGCTTGTGCCTTAATTTATGGGCATCATGTAGTTGCTCCTATAGTAAGGTGACCAGACGTCCCACTTTTGGCGGGACAGTCCCAGTTTTTGAAAAGAATGCACGACAAGCTAGGGAACGGTCTATTTGGTCCATATAGACCAAACTTTTAATTAAGAACACCCCCCCTCCCCCGGTCAATGGTGTCCCGCTTTAAATCTGGTCACCTTATCCTATAGTGAACCAAGTGTGTTTGGAACCCATGACTCAGAGGTCAGGATTTGTCTATTCTCGATGGCCCATTCTAGCTTTACCTCTTCTCTTTTGCTAATTTGACCAGAGGGCCCCAACCACCACTCAACACATACACATTCTGGCAAATTCCTGACTAGATTATCATCTTTGGAATAAAAAAGCTTTTGAACAGAAGCAGTGAAATTCTGTTCTGCTTTTTTATCTTAAAAGAAAGTAACCAGATTGAGTGTTGTATTTCAATGTAGAAAACTTTACAAAATTATTTACTTTGTTTTGCCTCACTAAGTGGAAATAAGACCGTTGGTTTTTAGTTTTTAATAATCTATTCAACCACTAACAAGTGCAGAGGAGTTTGCAAAGCCATTGCAGCAGGGGGAATATTTGGTTTCCTGTTTCGAGTAAATGACAGACCCACCGGCTCCTTTTCCAGGTATCTCTGTAGTACAGGTTTGGCTGTCACTGGGCTGATAAGGCACTTCATGGCGTGTGTTAGGCGGCACCTTGATAATTTGTGAGATTCAGCGTTTCATGTTAGTCTTGAAAAGTATGGGAAGATAGACTTGTGCAAGATTTTATTTAATCTTCGTAATACCTCGAAGACAGGGGTAAAGTAAGTTCCCTGGCGTCATGAAGTGTCCACGGCCAGTTGAGGCCCTAAGCATAGTTCTTTTCACTAAGTGCATCAGACCTGGCCAGTACTGCTTTCTAGGACTGAGCATATTTGTAAAGTGTTGCCAGTGCTTAAGTTACATCACTGCACCGTCACTCTAAAGTCAGAGTAGTTTGAAGGTTTCCAGCATCCTTTCCGAGGAACTTGTAGAATTATTTTTATATGTAGAATTTAAATTTTTTTTAAGTCTTAAGGTATTGATGAAGTTCACTTTAACTTTTATTTTTTACTTCCGTGAAATCTTGAGAGAATAAGCTGACATCTGGAAGGATGATTTCTGAAGAGGCGAAGGGACAGAGGGAATGACCAGTAGACTGCTGGATCTCACCAATGGAACATGCAAACGACACCGGGTAGATTTACCAGTGCCTTTGTCTTAGACCTCATTTCAGGCTTAAAGAAAATGTTGAGTGAGATTCTGGCATTTGCTACCAGAGTTTATGCAAGTATTTTTAGGACCTGTGAAAATATGATACTGGCAGGAACCAGTGTTATTCTCTTGTCTGTCTTCAGCAAAGAATAAAACAGATATATAGAACCTGTCTATTCTCATCCCCTTTTTAAAGTACAAGTAGTATATTTTTACCCTTAGTGCCATAAGGAGGTAGCTAGATCTTCTAAATAATAATAGACACAGAACCATACAGAATCCTGGCCAAACATGAAAAAGAATTACTTGACAGAGAACGGGTAGTATAAAACTGCATTTATAATGCTCTCTAGATGGAATTCTCCGTACATTTGCAGCTGCAATGCATTGCTAAGGGAGGAGATGACATTTCCTCGGAAGATTCCTATGAGTCGTAGTTAACTCAGTGGCAGTGGGATTGGTTTGGGTTCTCTGGAAGGTCTTTTTAAGTAAATTAAATTCTCCTACTGGGGTTGGGGTAGGGAGTGGTGGCAGGGAGCTTGCTCCCAACTTAACTCATTGCCCAGTCCTGAGTTTGTCTGAGGGCTGAGAGTCACAGACACGGCCAGCCTCTCAAGGAATCTACAGCCTGTTTTGTTAGTCACTGCTGTTTGCTACTGAGACTTGGAAGGGCTGCTTGGTATTCAGGGAAGATGGGTGAGTCTACTTTTTAAAACGGTGGGTGAATTTATTTTTTAAAAGCTATTGCCATCTCTTAAAGACTTGCGTTAATTATGGAAACAGATGGCCTGGAAAAAGTCGAAGAAAAGATGCCAAATCTTAACAACCCCTTACTGGCGAGTTATTTTGATTTAAGCATTTCATTATCAGAGCTTTTAGAAAGTGAAATAAAAAGAAATTCATTTTTGGATTTTATTTTTAGGACTCCTTTTTTATATTCTAAGGAAGAGATACTAAAGAATTGTGAAATGACAAATGGTTGATGGGCATATAAATGAGAGGGAAAGAATGGGTGGTCCATGCACTCAACCATCAGCTACCGTCTTCCTGAAAATTGTGTTGAATTTGCCAGGTAGCTTATAGAATTGGTGACAACTAATGAGTATCCCATTTCTTCTGCCCATTGGTACACAACAGTGAGACGGTTTAAACGGAAGCATCTTACAGCCATCGACTGCCAACATTTGGCTCGGAGTCATTTGGCTGTGACCCAGCCCTTCGGTCAAAGATGGACAAACAGAGATCCGAACCATGGTCTCTATCCTAGATCCAGACCAAAGAGAGGGAGTAGGGGTATGTCTTCCCAAACAGTATCTTGCATTTCAAAATCTGTGGTTGTGTGTGGCCTTTGACTGTCTTCCCACTTTCAAAGTATTCATAAATGTTCCTGCTATGTCTTTCAAGCCCTACTGTAATAGTTGGACACCTGTTAAAATTATATGTGCATTTTCCATGGAAAATTCCATCCTGTTTAGTAAAAGCTCTAGAAAAATGTGATGGAATGACAGCCATTAATTGTAAAGCGATTGACAATATTTATCAATATCACCAACACCCCAATCTTGATCTAGGGCGATTACTTGAGTCTTCATTAACCTTCTTTGGCTAATCTGTTGCTAGATTTGACATGTCACTTTCCCACAAAACATTTCCTCTACTGCGTTTGTGGCAGACTGCTGCAGTAACCCTTTTTGGTTCTGGGTTTTATTCCTTCTAAACAATCTCGTGTGTGTACTTGAGTTAATATTCTTGAATAGCATGTTCTGTCCTGACACTGCCCTTCCCAAGAGTCCACAGTAAAATGTTTCCACTTCACTATTTTAGGTTCAGGCTCAGTCACCGCCACCTTGCATGTGAAAGTTCCACTTCTGGCAGTTTGATTTTCTTGCTACCATTCATTCTATGTGCCAAAGAAAATTTTACTCCTGTTAATATGTACCTGCTGATTGTGGTAGCAATTGTACAGTACTGCTTGATGTGATTTAACTGTGGAATGACAGGATGTCTGGATTTGCTCCTAATAAAATGGTTTGGTGGAAGGGAAAAAAATACATATGCTAGTATAATCTACATAGTTGTATTTCCCTTTGACATGTAATTTCAGAATCCTGCTCAGATCTTTAGTTTTAAAGAATCACTTTTGCTTTAAAGAATCACTGCCTTTCTCTTCTTTACATGTTGGAAAATGTATTTTTCTCTTACTGTTTGGAAGTATTATGGCCAATTGTATGAGACCGCTTCAACCTTAATTATATGTTGTGTGATGTTTAATTTATTGTTTTATGTGTCAACCTCTTGTCATTCTGTAAGTTCTTTACTGATACGGATTTTGTCAACATCTGTATGTTATACATGTATAGTTCTAGTGCTGTACCTGTATTAGGCCCTTAAGGAAATGTTGCTAAGATTGAATTAAACAATTAGGAAATATCAAGTGTTAAGTAAGACCTTACTGATTGCAAAACTGTTTATCAAATGGTCCCAGATGCATTTATAATTGCTTTGTTAGTCCTAATCTAAAAGTATTACTTTAAATTCTTTTTAAGTTACCGTAATCTACTTTTACTTCTTTCTCTCCTTTTCCAAAGTGAGAATTTTAGCAACAGCTATTTAGAAAGCCTTGTATATTGTTATGTATTGAAAAGGTGTTTAAATACTCTTTTGCATTTAAAAATGTTCTTGTAGGAATTAAGAAATCCAGTGGTGATATATGGAATGATCATTTGGACATTCCTAAGGGGTCCTAAAAAGGACCCGTAGTGGGGTAGTGGTTCTGTGTTGGGTGGCTCTTGGCAAGGTCAGCAGTTTGAAGCCACCTGCTACTCTGTGGGAGAAAGTTGGGGCTTTCCACCTCCCAGAAAGAGTTAGTCTTGGAAATCCCCAAGGATTTCCTGTCCCCTCTACCTGTCCCCCCAGGTCTCTGTGAGTCTCTATTAACTGGATGGCAGTGACTTTGGTATTTGAGCATTCAGGGCCTAAAAAGGAGGCTTAGTGGTGCTGTGTGTTAGATGTTTGGCTGCTAATTGCAAGTCAACAGTTCCAACCCACAGGCTCCTCCATGGCAGAAAGATTTACAGTTTAGAAGCCCTCCCTATAGAGGGTGTCTGTGAGTTGGCAGTGACTTGGTGGCAGTAGGTTTGGGTTTTGGAAGTGTCTTAAAGGTGCTGTGGTGGTACAGTGGTAGTCACTCAGCTGCTGAGTGACTGGGGCTCTGCTGGAGAAAAATATGGCCGTGTCTGCTTCAGTAAAGATTGTGGCCTTGGGAAACCTTAGAGGGCAGTTCTGTTGGGCCACTTTGAGCCTGATGGAGTGGGCAGCAGCGGCAGGGAAACCCGACAGTTCATAGACACTTAGTGAATACCTTGTAAAGGAATGCACCGAACAGAATAGGCTTCACTCTAATAATATGAAGAGAATTCTGACCCTTCCCTTTTTACTTAAAAACAAATTCACGTGTCAGCTTCACTCAGGAGGAAATAAAAATAATTTTAGCGAGATTCCCTACTCCATCTTAGAATCCATATTAACCCAAGGAAAGGAGTATGTTTTTCTGAAGCCTAATTCCCTAAAGGGAATTTCTCCTTTCTCCTTCGACAAACTTAGATCGCCTATTGTCGGAGCAGGCCACCAGACATGCATGTTAATAATTCCATGATATGTGGACGTGAGTGGTTGTGGTGGTTTTTGGCTTTTTTTTTGTCCATCCATTCAGGTATTGCCAGATGTGATGTGGGTCTTCACACCATCCAAAGACTGGTCTCTTTCTTTCCATTTGTGTGTCTGCTTAAATGATAGAGCCCAAGTATAAGTATTTATTTTCGATTAGCTACGTACATGAGTCAGTTGACTAATACATTTCCTAGTCTCTTCCTCTTCTCCCTGTTAACATAGAGCATTAGAATTTTGTTTTATTTGAGTCAGCCACCATCACTCATTGCGTGTTCATTCTGTGTGTGGGGGGGTCTCTCTACAGGTCAAGGATGCCAGAGACACAGCACTGAATTCTTCCTGGCTGGCCAGCGGCAGTGCACCAATGACATGGCCAAAAGCAGTTCTGCTGGCAAGGAGAGCTACAAGGACTCCGAGGGTGACATGATCTTTCCTGCTGATGGCAGTTCTGCCCTTCTTCAGGAAGGCGCTGGAGAAGCGAGGCTGGACTCTGCAGGATCCACTCTGCCTTCAAGGAAGCGGTCTCAGTCCTTTGAGGAAGATAGCACCCAAGATACAGGGACCAGTCATTGGGATGGGGTTTCTAAGAAAACCTCACGGCATCATTTGTCCCTGTCATGCAAAAGGCTGAGGGAAGTTAGGCAAGCAGCAGATGACTGCCTCTCTGCAGAATCTGGAGAAACTAACCGAGAAATTGAGGACATCGGTCCTGACCCCATTCCTGACACATACTATGGGCTTCTTGGGACCTTACCTTGTCAGGAACCCCCGAGCCTCATTTGTAGCTTGCCCAGTGAGGTCTTGAGGCATATCTTTGCTTTCCTCCCTGTGGAAGATCTCTATTGGAATCTAAGCTTGGTGTGCCATTTATGGAGGGAGATCATCAGTGACCCACTGGTATGTAAAATGTGTACAGCCATAGAATGCTTTCTTTCAAGGACGTGACTTACCTTCAGTTAGTGCATACTTCTGATAATAGGGCTTCAGAGATGGTGGTATCCATTTGCCTCCAGATTGTGGCTCAACCTCACAGTGGCGTTTAAGGCCTTCTATGTTGTCTCAACATATTATTCCCGCCTCATCACTCACTTCTTCCTCAACACACCGTTGCATTCTCTCCACAAGTGGTATGCTGGCTCTGGACCACAGACAGCATGTTCCACCCCCTACCCATCCCACCTCCCACTCTATAGTTCTGTTGATTATCAATCTTACCTGTTCTTCAAGGCTTACTTCTTAACACTAACTACTCTTTCCCATTTCATCCACTGAAATGACATGTTTTTCTTTGTGTTCTTACAGCAATCTATCATCACGTTCTTTCTATTTTAGTTTTAGCTGTTCTTGCCCTTTAAATTATGAGCTTATTCATAGGACCCTGGCTATCCTGTTTATTCCCCATGTTCTCCATCATTCCTTTCTTCTAATAACCTCCTTACTTACCCCTCAAAACAAATTCGCTGCCATTGAGTTGATGCCGACTCATAGCGACCCTATAGGACAGGGTAAAACTGCCCCTGTGGGTTTCGGAGATTATAACTCTTTCTGGGAGTCGATTAGTAAATGAATATTAAGATAAATCACCTTGGGGTACCTTTTGAGGTTGATTCCACATGCAGTTCACAAAACTCCAAAAAGATTTCTGTGTGCTACAGTTAATTATAAGGAATCCTGGTCGCACAGCTGCTTCGTGAGAGAAAGATGTGGCAGTCTGCTTCTGTAAGGATTTATAACCTTGGAAATCCTGTGGAGCAGTTATAATCGCCATAAAGGGTTGATATGAGTCAGAACCAACTCAATTGCAGTGAATACAGTTAGTCATATGAGGCGCCTTCAAAAAGTCCATGGAAAAGGGAATTAAAAGACAATGGCACTTTCCCACAAGCCCTTTGAAGCCCCGCTGTATTACTAATCTGATTCACCTGAAATAGGTGGGGCAAATGTTTTGCTTAGTTTCTTTTTTAAAAATCATTTTATTGAGGGCTCTTACAGCTCCTATAACATTCCATACATCAATTGTATCAAGCACATTTGTACATCTGTTGCCATCATCATTTCCAAAACATTTTCTTTCTACTTGAGCCCTCCGCTTCCCCCGCCCCCACCTACTTAGTTTCTTATCTCTGAACTATCCATTGGAAATAACTCAGTACTAGGATTAAGTCTCTGTTCAATGACATCTGCTCCTCACTAGCTCTGTTTCTGATATTCTGCATTTGGAAAAATTGTTAAAAACAACTATCCAACTGTTTTGTTTTTGTGCATCAATGACCTAAATCTGTCAGTAACCAACACCAAGCTATGAGGTGAGAGTCAGGCTGCCTTGAGGGTTACGGTTGTGTCAGTTTGGCTGGGCCGTGATTCTTGGTGCTTTGGCAGTTGCATAATTTAGCAGTTTTGTAATGATGTAGTTTGGCAATTGTATAATCATACAGCCATCCTCGCTTTTGTAGTTTGATGTGATCACACGCCATTTTTTGCATTAAAAACCTGGTTTTTGGAACCTAACCAGTTATTAAGTGAGGAGTGGGCACGTAATGGAGGTTTGAAAATTCAAGTGGAGTGAAGGATGGGTATAGAAATAGAGTGAGCACAAAAAGTTTTGGACTAAATTTCATGTTACTCTTTTTCCACTTAGGGTCTACCCATCCCCCAGTTTCTGGGAAATATTTTTCTGCGTTTAGATGTAAATTCTGGTTTGTCATAATAGTTCTACTAACTGCATAGTTACAGATGGGGATGAGTGAGGATTTTCTCCATCTTTGGTTAAAGCTGTCCCAGCTTGTATTTACTTACTCCTTGAAATCTTAGAATAATGTTGTATTTGCCATCACCAACAATGACCTGACACATTTAGTGTCCGTCACCTGTCATTGTTTTCATGAGATTTTATCCTCATGGAACCTCTGAGCCTTCAGGGTTCTGATATTTTCGAACCTATATCAACCCCCTTTGTGGCAGATAAGTCCTTTATGTTTGTCTCAAGCTATAATCCAGCCCGTGGCTCACTTCTTCCTCCAGACACCATTGCATTCTGTCCCGCAGAGATGATTTGCTGTGTGCAGATCACAGACTGCACACTCCTTCCCTCTCTGCATGCTGCTCTTGTCTCCCCACCCCACCCCCCCCACACACACACCTAAGGGCCTCTCATATTTCTGTTGCCAGGGCTTACCTCTGATACTGAGTGCTCTTTCCTATTTGACCTTTTGCAATGAATCAGCTGCCCAAATTCAGAACACAATAATAAGTTAGTGTTGGGACAAGGACCAAGACCCAGCTCTCCTGGTTTCTATCTGAGCTGCTCACCTTTTGATATGAGGTGAGCTACGTTGGCTTTTCAGCTGGTGGAAGGTTATTTATGTATTTGTGGCCTCATCTGCAAGCCAGTATTCATTGTGTGCATGCTATTTTGATTGATTGATTGATTAACTTTCTAGTTCATTCCCTGGAAAAAGCTGTATCATCGCTATCTGATGAATGAAGAGCAAGCTGTCAGCAAAGTGGATGGGATCCTCTTGAGCTATGGTATAGCAAAGGAGTCCGACTTGTGTGTGCTGAACCTCATACGGTGCGTCCTCGTTTTTTCTCCTGTGAGGAGGAGGATAGCTTTTGAAGCCCTTTCCCTGAAGTTCACCTTTGTGATCATCGTTCTCACGGACCGTTCGGTGAATGTTTTGCAGATACACAGCCACCACTAAGTGCTCCCCAAGTGTAGATCCAGAAAGGGTGTTGTGGAGCCTGAGGGATCACCCCCTCCTTCCTGAGGCGGAGGCCTGCGTACGCCAACACCTACCTGACCTGTTTATCGCTGCCGGGGTATGTGAGAGGCCCTGGGGAGTCACGGCAGACCATGGCATGTGTTTCCATGGGGAGGGAGTGTAGGGGTGACTCGGTTCAAGACTGTTTTCAAAATCCTTATTTATGAATGCTTTGTTGTAAGTCTCATTGGTGGAATAAAAGGCAATCTAATTGTAGAGACTTAGATTTGGAAGTGATTTTTGAAACTACCGTATTTAGTACAATTTACCACACTGCTGAAGGATCTTTTGTGAAATAACCCTGAAAGGTAGCCATCTGATCTCTGAACATTTTGATTAATCAGGATTTCTTTACACAAAAGAAATGCCTTCTTTAAGTTTCTTTAAGAGACTTGTAGTAATGTTAAAAATGTTAAAGATTTAGGTCCATTATGGATTATTTCCGTGTTAGTAAACATTTTCTCTCCCAAACAAAAAGCAAAAACCCCAAACTCACTACCACGGAGTCAATTCCAACTATAGTGACTCCAGAGGGCAAATTAGAACTGCCCCCGTGGGTTTCCCAGATGTTAAATCCTTATGGGTATAGAAGGCCTCATCTTTTCTCCTGAGGAGCAGCTGGTGGTTTTGAACTGCTGACCTTGAGATTAGCAGCCCAATTCATAGCCACTACTCCACCAGGGCTCCTCCGAAACATTTTTTTATAGACATTAGTAAATGGAGCATGCTATCTCCATCTTAATGCTATAGAATTGTCAGTTCGATATTTCTCCCGTAAAGACTGCTGGCTTCTCCCTCCCCCCCCATTTATTTTCCTGTAGTGTCTTCTAAGAAAGGAAGGAACTCATTTAGTGGTTACCTGGTATAAAAATGGTGAGGGGAGTCAATATCCGACCTCCTCTAACTATGCAAGGTAGAAAGAGAACCACCGTCCTCAGCATCAGGTGCCCAAGGCTGATTCCTGTGAGGCTGAGATGGACAGACTACCACTCTCCAATTTTCCTTACCAATTCTAACACCGGCAGTCCCTCCCACAGCCGTTTCTACTCATCCGGGCTTAATAGTTCATTGCATTGCCCCCCCCCGCCCCACAGGCCATACAGTTGTGAGCTTTAGGTTACAATTCAGGATCAGACATGCCCAGGACCATAGTTCCTTGGTCAGGACAGCCTCTTTTCAGCCATCCTTGCAGGCAGGCCTCTCTCAGGACCAGGACCCCTGGCTTGGCCTCTGCCTTGCTCCAGCAATGTTACAAAGCTCTTTTAACATTGCTGGTACATCCCCAAAGGGTACTCTCTTCCACCGTAAGCCTCAGTTAGAAGGTGCTCAGCCCTAGCTCCATGGGTCAGCAAATCTAGCTCCGTGAATAAGTGCCTGGAGGCACCCCACTCCATAAGATTCCTGCCCGGGGTCACTCAGCTTTACTTGCTCAGTAGGTTGGGAAGCCCACTGTTCTATCTTGCGTTCAGCTCTTGGGTTTTGCTGCTGCTGCGCCTCTTCCTTGTCCTTGGTGTCACAGCTCTCTGTCCCTGGACCTAGAAAGTTCAGTGCATAGGGACCTTGGGGGGTGGGGGGTAGGGAGTGAGGAGTGGGGGGATCACACACTCCTCTCCTAGGTCTTCATTCTGGATGATAATGAGATTTTCCCCTCTTGCTTCCGATGTGGTTCCTTTTATACCCAGCAGGGTGACAAACCTGACCTAATCCCTAAGCTAGCATTCCCAGTGGTTATAATCACAATTAGCCCTGTTAGCGGTCATTCACAACTGAATCATATGATCTGTCAGCATCTTCCCCCACCTTCTTTTTCCCCCTGGGCCCAACAGAAACAGGTCGTTGGGTAGGCGTTACATACACTAGGGCTGGAGAAGCCATATTCAAGAATCCACTGTACCTTGTCCTATTTTGACGTGACACTTGGAATTATTTGTGGACCCAAGAGCTCCACTGACCTGACGAGTGGAGAGATGGGATACAATTACTATTTTTGCAGTGTCACTTCTACATAAGCTTCCATTTTACATATTTTACCCAATTTTGTTTCATTAAAGGAAACAGAACTCCAACCTAGAGCAGAACCGAGTGTAAAAGGCAAGGCCCCCCTTCTTTCTCAGCTCTCATTCGAGACGCTTGGATTCAGTCTATACTCCATAGATAGCACATGACCCCAGTTTCGTGTTCTTCCTTTGTTGTCTGGTCTGACTTTGATTTACTGTAACCTATGTCCTTGGGTCTTTTTTCCCATCCCGGGGCCGCCTCGCTCCACAGGGTGTCAACGTGTGGGCTTTGGTAGCAGCCATCGTTCTCCTCTCCAGCAATGTGAGTGACATCCAGCAGCTACTCCACTGCCTCAGGAGACCGAGCTCCACAGTGACCATGCCGGACATCACGGAGACTTTGTACTGCATAGCTGTGCTTCTCTACGCCATGAGAGAGAAGGGGATTAACATCAGCAATAGGTAAAGCCGTCGAAGGGAGTGAGGAGACCCCATGATAGAGCGGAAAAGTTCTGTGTGGGTGCAAGTCCTGGCTCTGCCACGTAACAGCTTTCACATTGGGCAGCACTCACAGCGCTTGACCTCACTGTCTTCCTCTGTCAAATGACTGTTACGAAGTGTAAATCCAGAAAGGGATTTGCCTGAACACACGGAAGCTTTTGTGAATAAAAGGCGCGATACAGCCATAAACTATCACCGAGGCAGCTTTTACGTGGAAAGCCTTAGGTGAGGTATCTTTACTTAATGGAAACTTGCTTAATACACACATGGCCCACATTTCCTCTAGGAAAATAATAGGATCTGCTCTGTGTGCACCTTGCTTTTGAGATAGGGTGTAATGATGTCATAAAGGTCTCATTCACTTCATTAGCTTAGACAAAACCTGTGTAATATGCCGGGCTGCTAATTCGCAGGGACTCCAGTGGTCTCACTCACACGAGTGATGGAATAGCCCAGGCCAATTCTGAGAGGATCGTCTGCTCTGGTGAAGATGTACAGCCTTAGAAGTCCTTAATAGATAAGTTTGAGTGGATAACATGGCAGCGGGTTTGGTTTTGATTCACTTTACAAGTACTTGAGCACGTACTACAGGTCCGATAGGTTTCCAGGCACGTGGCATACAAATGGGCAAAAAAAATAAGAATAATTGTAAGGATGGCGCAGGGCTGGGCGGAGTTTTGTTGTTTTCCGTGGGGCACTGTGAGTCGGAACCTACGTGACTGCATCTAACCACAAGGGGTACAAAAAGTCAGCCAAGGTGCTTGCTCTGATGGAGCGTATATTCTACTGATAGAAAACATGTAATACATCATGAAATATTTCAGTTAACAGCTAGTGATAAGTATTGCCAAGGAAAGAGGGTTATGTGAGAGGGAGGTCGGAACACTAGTTTGAGTTAGGAAACGCTTCCCTGGAGAAGCAACATCCGAGTTAAAACCTGCGAGTTACAACCTGCGTGTCAAGGAGGAACAAGTCATTTTAAGACTGGGGGGAGCATTTTAGGACACGTGGCCAGTGAGTCGATCCTGCTCAGGACAGCCCCCTCTGTGTGAACACAGGGCTGTGCTGCATAGGATAGCCTAGCGTTTTGCAGGTTCAGAAGTGGGTTGCCAGGGTACCTCTGAGTGGACTTGAACCTCCAACCCTTTTCTGTTCCTTGTGCATACCAAATTCATCTCGCGTCTTTGGGCTGTTCTTTCTAAAATTGTGTAAGTGGTTAACACACTGGGCTGCTGCCCCAAAGTCCAGTGTGGTAGTAGTGTAGTAAATGTGAGTATACACTTACCAGCGGCAGATGGGCTAGATCCTGTACGATGGTGTAGGCCATGATAAAGAGTTAGAATCAAAGCCAAGCAGAATGGTCAGCTTTGGATTTGGAGAGCTCCGATTGCTGATCTGAAATGGTGACGTCGCTTGTAGTCACGAGTTGATCCCAAGCAAACGACAACCCCGTGCTTTACGGAGTAGAACCGCTCCAATGGTTTTTCTTGGCTGTGATTTTTATGGAAGCAGATTGCCAGGCCTTCTGCCACGGTGCTGTTGGTGGCTTTGAACTACCAAGCTTTAGGTTAGTAGACGAGAGCAAACTGTTGGCACCACTCTGAGAACCTGTGGTAAACATGGGCAGCGTGATAATACAGGTGACCATGGAGAAGCATAAGCCCCAGAGAGATCTTCCTTTCTTTGTTGATCGACTACACACTGGGATGAGGAGGACTAAGTGGAAGAATAAGGGTCCTTGGTGGTTACACGTTGACTGTTAACCACAAGGTTGACAAAGAAAGAGGAGGTTTTCAAGCGGCCATCTAGCTGAGAAGCAACAAAGCCCACATGGAAGAAACACCACCCTGTGCGATCTTGAATTGTCGAAGGGATCAGGCATCAAAGAACAAAAGATCATACCATTGTGATTGAGGGGGAATGCAGAGTGGAGACCCAAAACCCATCTATAGGCAACTGGACATCCCCTTACAGAAGGGTCACAGGGAGGAGACACGCCAGCCTGGGTGCGATGTAGCAACGATGAAACATACAACCTTCCTCTAGTTCTTTAATGCTTCCTCCCCCCCCACTATCATGATCCCAATTCTACCTTACAAATCCAGCTAGACCAGAGGATGTACACTGGAACAGATAGGAACTGGAAACACAGGGAATCCAGGACAGATGAACCCCTCAGAACCAGTGGTGAGAGTGGCAATACCGGAAGGGTGGTGGGTAGGTGGGGTAGAAAGGGGGAACTGATCACCAGAATCTACTTATAACCCCCTCCCTGGGGGACGAACAACAGAAAATGGGTGAAGGGAGACATCGGTCAATGTAAGACATGAAAAAATAATTTATAAATTATCAAGGATTCGTGAGAGATGGGGGGCAGGGAGGGAGGGGAAAAATGAGCTGATACCAAGGGCTCAAGTAGAAAGCAAATGTTTTGAGAATGATGAGGCAACAAATGTAAAAATGTGCTTGACACATGGATAGATGGATGGATTGTGATAAGAGTTGTACGACCCCCAATAAAATGATTTAAAACAAATGCAAATGCAAAAAAAAAAAGAAAAGGAGGCTTTCTACTCCCATAAAGAGTTCTAGTCTCGGAAACCCACAGGGGCAGTTCTACCCTGTCCTATGGGGTCATTCTGAGTCGGCATCGACTCCGTGGCAGAGTGTTTGAAGGGGAAGAATAAGGAACAATGATTAATCACCTGCCTGTCAACTGGAAGATTGGCAGTTCCAGTCCACAAGCCGCACTGGGGAGAAAGTTGGAACATTGTGAATCTGGAAAGATGACAGCCTTGGAAGGAAGCCCTGGGGCAGTTCTACATGTGTCTTAGAGAAGGAATTTATTCAGTGACAGCGGGGGGTGAGGGGGGTGGGTGGTGGGTGGGGGGCAAAGTGACTGATGGCACCAGCTGAGCTGTAGCACACTTGTTCTTGGTGTCGTTCAAGGATGAGCTACAGGGACAGTCATTCTCAGGTGTGTCAGAGGTACTTGTTAGATGTCTGAGTTATGATTCAGTGCAATATCAACTAAGCACTGATTTGTGAAGCAAAAACTTTGTGACATAATTAGAAGACAGATGTACAAAGGATGAATAATATCCTGAAGTGCAACTGCAAACGTAAAAAATATATGTTTATATTGAACATAAAGAACAGGGATGTGATACTGTATATACACGTGTATAAGCCGAGTTTTTCAACACATTCTTTTTTGCAGTTTTGTGGTAAAATTAGGTGCCCCAGCTGATATTCGGGCCGGCTTATACTCGAGTATATATGGTATATTGACTTTTGTTGTGTTTATGTATTTCTTCCTGCTCTGTTGGAAGATAATCCTAATATGACCAGAGCTTGAAGTGTTTGTTATACAGCAGATTTGCTACTTCAAAAAGATTGATGGTTGGACATAAGCTCGCCTCACTCTGGGGATGGGGAGTATAATGCCCTCATTTGTGAGAGGCTGGCCCTCAGGGAGATAGTGTGGTCTGTGTGAACTGTGAACTTGAAATGGTATATGGCCGTGAGTTGGATGATGCTTGGTGCCACTGTTGATGTACATTTGTACTAAGTCCTCTTAGTGACTTGAAGGTTGTATTGTCTTGTGATCTTTGGTCATGCTCTCTTAATATCAATATACAGTGAACCCTCGCCACTTCGTGCTTCGACTTCCGCGGCTTCACTCTATCGCGGTTTTTGCGTAACAGCGCATGCTCTGTCATTACTGCCACTGATTGGCTCATACTGTACACGCTTCTGTCTGCATCGCTACGTATCGGAGCTACGTATCAGATGCATTTTTGCTTTTGTACAGTGTACTGTAATTGTGTGTGATTTTTAAGAAATTTTATCTAAGCCCTATGATGGCTCCTAAACAAGGTGCTTCTTCTAAGCCTTCTGACAATAAAAATAAGCGCCAGAGGAAGATGCTCACCATCCAGGAAAAGGTAAAACTTTTGGATATGATCAAAGATGGCAAGAAAATCGTGGAGGTTGCATGCCATTTCGACTTGAATAAGGAATCCTACTTCGCGGAATTTCATTTATCACGGTAGGGTCTAGAACCGATTAACTGCAGGGTTCACTGTAGTACCTTTCCCTTGGGGTCTTAAAAGGTACAATGGTATTCATGCTCCAAAACCAGTAAGGAACAGATAGACTAAGTCTCAGAAAGATAGGCTGATGTCATTATGTTTATGTTGCACAACAATCTAATTGCTGGTAGTGGAATCAACATTTCTTTTTTTGCTCTTATACATTAAAATAATGCATCTTTCCCAGAGCTGTGATCTTAGACAGTTTTGTGAGCAGTAAATAATATGATATTTTAATAAAAAGAACACTTGGTTTTTGTATCCTCTTGTGTGTTAGTTTTCTGTGCATACTCTGTACGTTATGTGTGGGTGCACACTATTTTGCTATAAAATGGTAGGTATATTTTTAATAGAAATAATAAATTCAAGTGCATCTAAACACATTGGAACTTGAATTTGAGCATAACTAAGTCTCCTTTTTTCCTGTTAGAATTCACTACAACATCTTCTACTGCCTGTACCTTCAGGAGAATTCCGGTGCACAGATCACAAGAGTTAAAGAGGAGTCATCTGCTTGGCCAGGGTATGTATATTTATATCAAAGAGGGCTTCCAGAAGCTCATGTACAAACTACAGTAGCTTTTATTTCCCGCTTTTGATGAACTTTCTGAACACCCCTCCCCTCATTATCTATGTGTGTATGTCTTAGGTGGGTTGGGGGACAGGACGGATTTTTGTCTTCCATACTTGGCCTCTTGCATTTTTAAGAAGAGGAGATATTTTATTTTGCTTTAACAATTTTATTGAAGTATAGTTTATATAACATTATCTTCACTTATTTTAAGTGTACAGCTCAATGGCTTTTCATAAATTTACTGAGTGTACAACTATCACCCTAATCTAGATTTGAGAACATTTCTAGTACTCAAAAGGGGAGTTTTTTTCACCTCTTGGTCCATTTTTTTTTTTTTTCATTTTGGTTTTGGGATATTCTATGACCTGGTCTTTTTATTGTTTTCTCTTTTCTTCTAATTTCTTCTTGGAAATGATGATAGCAAGAAAGCAGCCATCCAACTTACAAATGAACAACAGCTGATTCTGAATCATAAGATGGAACCTCTCCAGGTGGTAAAAATTATGGCATTTGCAGGTAAGGGAGCTGACTTTTCATAGACTGGAGAGTCAGGTTCATGATAGGATTTGCTGTCTCTTATTACCACCCTGCCCCCTTCCAAGACACTTCCTAGCATCTTTCCTTTGACTGCTATCAAGCAACCTCAGAGGATCTAAAAAGCAGTTGACCAAGGAATGCGTACCTTTCTTTTTCATGGACTCCAGTGAGTTTCCACACTGGAGTTCCTGTTGAAACATAGTTCATAGAGATGCAGTCTGTGCTGTAGCTAATGCTGGGATTGATTGAGCTAGTCATTTGTTATTGGGTATTTTCCAGCTATTAATTACTTAAGAAAAGGCAGGTCATAGTGTTAGACAAATAAGAGTTCATGCCTTGAAGTAGCAGAGCCCATTCACTAACTCCAAATTCAAGGGGAAAAGAGAAATGTATTAGAGGGTGACAACAGCAAGGATTCCAACACAGGCCATCCCAAGGGAATTCCACCCATGGTCAGAATACATAGAGGTTATATACTTTTTACTTTGGAATTCACACATAGGGCGAGTCGTATACAAGTATTTTGCCTTAACTCAGGTTTCAGTATAATCATGGTAAGTAGTTATTTGACCCTGTACAGACAGAACAGTAAGGTTCTGTTTATTTATTTATTTATTTATTTATTTATTCATTCATTCATAAGGTTCTTTTCGTGTGAGTCTCAGAATGTTTTTCTTGGCTAACCAGATAGTAGGAATTAGCCTTTCGGCCCTACAGTGAGGCAGAAAAGAGAAGGTTCTCAGCATTAAGTGGCCCTTCCAGGAGACATACCCCTCCAGCCTATTTGCTTGGAAGCAGTGTAGCAAGTTTTGAAATTCCACGGATGCTGGAATGAGGAACAAGGCAAATCTGGTATGCGGTAGACAAACTACAAAACAGGGAGTGAATCCAAGCTACAATATGAACCTGCTCAGAAAGTTTCAGTGGCTCCCTAATTTCATAGGTAAAGTCTTTCTCTCCTTTGCGTCTAACCTATATTCCTAATTCCATATATTGCTTACTCATCTCCAACCCCAACCAGCTAATCTATTCACAGTCTCCTGATGTTCACGCTTACTCTCTTGTCTGAATCTTTGCATAAACTATTTTCTCTACCTAGAATCCCTTCTTGATGCTCTTCTGCCTGAATCTCCTATTAACAACAGCAGTAATGGCTTATTAAACACCTACCTGTGGGCCAGGCAATGTGCTAATCCCAACAGTCTTTTAAAAAATATTTGTTTGCTATCTCGATGTTAAAGATAAACTGAAGCTCAGAGAGATTAAGTGATTTGTCCTGGATTAAATAAACAAATAAGTGGAGCCAGCATGCAAAGCTAGATCTATTTCTCTCCACAGATAGAACTTTTTCTTTCTTAACTATTTTGTCTTCTCTTGTCAGTCTTTTTTGTTTTTGTTTTTGCTGTGCTAAATTGACTCCCATCATTTCTGCGATTTCTTGATGGAAGCTTTTTCTGCCAGGTCTCTGACCGTTTACTGTAACCATCTGAATGAATTGCTGGATCTCATATTTGGAAATTGCAGCTCAATGAGTAACCAGGACACCACCAGGATTCCCAAGGATTTTATGTTTGATCATAGGTGGCGTAGTCGTTACATGGTTAGCAAAATCAGCAGTTTGAAACCACCAGCTGCTCTTCAGGAGAAAGAGGAGGCTCTCTGCTCCCATAAAGAGATACTGTCCCGGAAACCCACAGGGGAAGTTCTGCCCTGTCCTCTGAGTTGGGTCACTTAGGAGTTGTAATTGGAAGGGAGCTACATTTTGGTTTACACTTGTTCATATAGTAAGAATAGTTAGCTTCTATAGTAAGAATAGTTACAAACATTTCTACATTATTTCTTTATTTTTCCAACCAGTCCTGTTTGAGGAGCTAGTTTTCTTTTTCACAGTTGAGGAAACAGGCTTCTAAGGATATCATGGTTCTCAATTTGATAGATGACGTGGTCTGGGACAGAAACCTGGGTTGTTTCTTTGTCCTGTTTTTTTCCCAAAAAACCTTTTTTTTTATAATTTGTTATCATTATACTCTCATAATGTTCTCTTACTGCTTTATCTGTGTTGCTATCTTATTCCAAACTAGATTAAAATGGAGGAATCTTGTTTTATGCTTAATGAAACATTGAATAATTGAATGAACAACAGAAGATGGGGCAGGCATGAACATTCGGAATGAATCAGAAGAATTCTTGCATCTCATATGCATGCTTTTGCTCTAGAAGCATCAGTGACTCCTGGACCAACAATTCACACCAAAATACTCACTGAGTTGGTTCTGACACAGAGCCACCTGCCTAGGGGTTTCTGAGAGTGTGAGTCCTCCTGGGAGCACATGGCTTCATCTCTGCCCTACAGAGTGCACTGGGGGCTTGAACCACTGACCTTGCAATTAGCAGTCCAACATACTCCACCGTACCATTTAGCTAAGCATAACAGTAGTTACCATTTATTCATACTGAGTTCCTGCTTAGTAGTATTGTAACTAACATTCACACTCGTGATTATGGTCTTTAGCTTCACAAATCTTAAAAGATAAGTACTCACTTATTGCTGACAAGGAAACTGAAGCTGTGTAAGGTCCAATGGTTTGCCTTTCCTCATTCGACAAGCACCTCTCAGAGTTAAGATCACCACTCAGTTTTTAACCTGCCTTGGAGTTGGCTACTCTTTTCACTACAGCATTTTTATCAGTACTGAAAAATTGACTGTTGAAGAATAATCTCAGGCAAGAGATGGAAAGCATGGTGTCCGTTAGAATATGTTTTTCCTGATCACGGGGTCACATCCTTTTCTCTTGCTTCCTCAGGCACTGGGAAGACCTCTACATTAGTCAAGTATGCTGAGAAGTGGTCCGACAGCAGGTTTCTGTATGTGACATTCAACAAGAGCATCGCGAAGCAGGCAGAGCGAGTCTTCCCCAGCAACGTCACCTGCAAAACCTTCCATTCTATGGCCTATGGACAGGTCGGGCGGAGGTGAGCTTTCCCGTTACCATCCTCAGTGTTCTTTCTTACTAATGTATATCCCAGTGCAGTCATGGTGATCATATACGAAGCTACTCCTCGATGATACCAGGAACCTTTAATGCTATTAACTCCATTCACAGGCAGGAAAGACGAAGACAGATGTAGTAATTCATTCTTCTGCCCAACAAAACTACACTATGTACAAATAACAATATAGTGTTAAAACAATAACAACTTACATATCACAATATAATAATAAAACAAATAATAATAATGCCCATTGAGGAGGGCATTTCCCTTTGCCTGGAATGAGGCAAAGTCAGAAGGACTTGTCTCAAGTTCAGGGTATCACAAACCCTGTCCCGTGTGGGGTTCTCCTTGGCAGGGTGGGGAGGGAGAAGAGACTGATATATTCTGTGTACTCACCTCTGCTTTCCTGAGGCATGTTGGACCTGCCGTGTCTTGGGCTTGAGAGCTTCGAGGACTCTCATCAGTGGCCTCTAAGAGTCTCGACTACACCTTGCAATAGTAGTGTTTGTCTTGAGCAGATGAGTCACCTGGATATTCTGCATGAATTCCCGAGTCTAGTGTAACCCTTTTCAAATCATAGTTAGACCTTGTTGAAATTATCTGGCGCCACCCCCGCCCTACCCCCACCTGCATGCTTACTGCGAGCTACTATGTGGTGTCATTAGATAGAATGGGGATGGGTGTGTGGAGACTGCAAACATTGCCCGTGAAGCCAGAGACTCTTAATTTGGGATAATGCATTACAGGTACCAGTCAAAGAAGAAATTGAATCCCTTCAAGTTAACACCCTTTATGGTCAACTCTGTCCTCACTGAAGGGAAAGGTGGATTCATAAGGGCCAAGCTAGTATGCAAGACTTTAGAAAACTTCTTTGCCTCTGCTGATGAAGAACTAACTATTGATCATGTGCCTATTTGGTGTAAGAACACCCAAGGCCAGAGGGTCATGGTTGAACAGAGTGAAAAACTGGTGAGTAGCTCAGTATCCTTAGTCCTGGGGGGCTGAGGGTGAATGAGAACAGTGGCACGGGACAGTGGTACTTCAATCTTTCGCTACCTCAGAACTCCTTGCAGGAAGTTGAAGGTGGAGACCCATAATAAACACTGGATTTTATAGGATTTCTGCCATCAGTATACTCATAGACATCACAGTCCTCACAACCTTCTCCTCGTGTGTTAGATGAGACACAGATATTGCATTCCTTGCCCAAAGTTATGCAAGTATATGGTCGTGTCTGCTGGACTTATGACCTGAACTTATCTGAGGGTTGAGAATCTCTTTCCTATTTTTTTTAAGTTATTGGTTAGTACATAGAGTTTGTTAGTGGCAAAATAAGTTGATTTCTTACTTATGAAATCTTTTCAACCAATTCTCACTTTTTTGAAATAATTGGAGTCTAGAAAAATAATCTCACCTTTTCTGGCTCATCAAATGGTATGATCTCTGAGATGTCTTGTGACTGGGCTGGTTCTTGCCCTATCTCTGCACTTTAGAACCAGAGACTCAGCAGTTAAAAGGCTATTTGTAGATCCAGTTGGATGATGTGAGTAATATCAGTTCACTGTACTAGCATCATGCCTTTGAGTTGATCTCTGTGTATGGAAACGGACATATGCTTTCAGGGTGCTGTGTTTTCCAGGCTCTTAAACTATGGGTATCACTTACTTTCTAGAATGGTATCTTTGAAGCGAGCAGACTTTGGGACAACATGCGGAACCTGGGGGAATGTAAAGAAGAGGCTTACCAAATGACTCATGATGGTACAAGAGTTTCCAAATATTGGCATCTGTTAAATATAACTGCCTTGAGGAGGGTATAGGAGGCCTGGTAGGGCTTGATCAAGGGCAATGTAACCAAGAGGAGTCACTGCAACCCTAATGAAGGCTGAACATGATAGTGGGACAAGAGGAAAGTAAAAGGAAATGGAGGAAGCAACTAGGAGGCAAAGGGCATTTATAGAGGTCTAAATACAAGCATGTACATATATAAATATATATATGACGATAAGAAAATAGATCTATGTGCATATACTTGTAGGTTTAGTATTAAGGTAGCAGATGGACATTGGGCCTCTACTCAAGTATTCCCTCAACACAAGAACACTTTGTTCTAAATAACCTGGCATTCTGTGGTGCTCACCTTCCTGACACAATGACTGAAGACAAAATGGGTGCATAAGCAAATGTGGTGAAGAAAGCTGATGGTGCCCGGCTATCAAAAGATATAGCGTCTGGGGTCTTAAAGGCTTGAAGATAAACAAGCGGCCATCTAGCTGAGAAGCAGCAAAGCCCACATGGAAGAAGCACACCAGCCTGTGTGATCACGAGATGTCAATAGGATCAGGTATCAGGCATCAAAGAACAAAAAATATTGTGAATGAGGGGCAATTTGGAGTGGGGACACAAAGCCCATCTGTAGGCAACTGGACATCTCCTTACAGAAGGGTTGCGGGGAGGAGAAGAGCCAGTCAGGGTGCAGTATAGCACCGATGAAACATATAACTCTCCTCTAGTTCTTTAATGCTTCCCCCACACATACACACTATCATGATCCCAAATCTGGCTAGACCAGAGGATGTACACTGGTACAGATAAGCCCTGGAAACAGGGAATCCAGGACAGATAAACTCCTCAGGACCAATAATGAGAGTAGAGATACCAGGAGGGGAAGAGGAAGGTGAGGGAGAAAGGGGGAACTGACCACAACAATCTACATATGACCCCCTCCCTGGGGGACAGACAACAGAAAAGTGGGTGAAGGGAGACAGCAGACAGTGTAAGACATGACAAAATAATAATTTATAAATTATCAAGGGTTTGTGGGGAAGGGAGGGTGGGGGAAGGTGGGGAAAAATTAGGAGCCGATGCCAAGGGCTCAAGTAGAAAGCAAATGTTTTGAGAACGATGATGGCAACAAATGTACAAATGTGCTTGACACGATGGATGTATATATGAATTGTGATAAGAGTTGTATGAACCCTCAATAAAGTGACTTAAAAAATATATATATATATAACTGCTTTACTTTGGAGTTATGATGCTTGCCGCTCCTTTCTTTTAGGCTATTTGAAACTCTGGCAGCTGAGCAAGCCTTTGCTTGCTTCGTTTGACGCCATCTTTGTGGATGAGGCCCAGGACTGTACCCCAGGTGATAAACTATTCAGGACATCAGTAGTCTCAAATACATAGAAACAACATCATGATTATGTAAGAGGACACATGTGAAATAAGTTGATTATTCTTATTTTTGATAAAGAAGAAGAGCAAATGATACTTTGCTATTTTCCTCCAAATGTTTTGCTTAGGTTATTTCCTAAGGATGGGTCAGCGGGTTATCGGGACAATAGTAGCCTAGGACTCATGTTTGAATGGAGAGAAGTAGGCAATCTGGAGTGAAAAATCTGTCTTGTACATCTCTCCTACGGCGATTGGAATGTACACAGTGTCGTGAATGTGGTCTTCTGGGTCTCCTTTAGATTTTATATTAAAATATTGAAAAGAGACAATTTGTCTCATAAATGCCAGTGTGGTGTCTTAGACTCACTTATTTTTCCAGGACTAAAGCTAATTTGCGTTCTTCATGAGAATATGATTTCCTCTGAGTGTGCCTGCCCTATAGAAGAATAACCTATTGCTTAGTGTGCCTTAGCTTAGCTTTATTGAAAGCATTTTCATCCTTACCTTTCTTAAATATTGTTCATTTTTGCTATGTGTGTTGGAATTCCTTCAGACCTATTTTTCCTCTTCTTTTGTTGTAGCTATCATGAATATAGTTCTCTCTCAGCCATGTGGGAAAATCTTTGTAGGGGACCCACATCAGCAGATCTATACCTTCCGAGGTGCAGTCAATGCTCTGTTTACAGTCCCACATACTCATGTCTTCTATCTCACCCAGGTAAGAGCTTTCTTTGCTTCCAAGTTCCCTTAATATGTAAGCAAGTGAGTGTTGTATTTCCCTCCCATTTTTCATTGTGTACTATGCTCCAGGCACTATACAAGGCGTTTATGCTAGACTCACGGTATATTACAAATGCTTGCTTCTCAACAGGGATTCTCAAAATGTGGTCTTCAAGGTCAAGACTGCTTTCATAATAGTTATTTGCCTTTTTCACCGTGTTGACATTAGCTCTGGTGGTATAAAGCGATAGTGGGCAAAATTCCTGGCCCTGTACCAGTAGTCAAAGCATTGTCAGCAAACGGCCTCTGTAGTCCTTACTGCACACACTCTGAATAATTAAAAAACACAGTGTTCATTTAAGAATGTTTTTGGTACCGCAAGAATGACTGATATTAATAATTATTTTTTTATTATTAAAAGATCATTTTATTGGGGCCCTTACAACTCTTGTTGCAATCCATACATCAATTACATCAAGCATGTTTATTCATATGTTGCCTTCATTCTTTTCTAGACATTTGCTTTCTATTGAGCCCTTGGTATCAGCTCCTCTTTTTATCCCCCTCCCCCCACCCTCATGGTCCCTTGCTAGATTGGAAATTACCGTATATACTCGACTATAAGCCATTCCAAATATCAGCCAAGGCACCTAATTTTACCACAAAAACTGCATTAAAAATGTGCTGAAAAACTCGACTTATACACGAGTCTATACGGTATTATTATTTTTATTTTAATAATTCTTGACCCTTGAGTATGTCCCTGTTCCTCTGTGTGATGAAATGGGAAGTACATACAAAAACTGCTGGGTACTGAAGTATGATGGCTGCCTGATGAAAGTGCCATTGCGACTCAGTGGTGAGCTGAACTGGCTGATCTTCTCTTGTCGCATCATTTTTTTTATGTGAAATAACTGACAGACCAACACAGGGTACTCAGGCATAAGTAGCATTTTCTCAGAATTGACTGAAGTGAGTCTGCGACTGTACAGAAACCAATTGACAGTATCTGACCAGAGGTAAAAGTCTTGGTATTTCAAGAGAAAAATGGTAATTCTGGAAAATTCATATTTGCTACCATGAGCTTGATAACTTCCCACAGAGAATCTTATAATGAGATCAGTAAGGATATTAACATACATGAGTTTTTGAAAGATAGCTTATGTTGAATTATGAAATGGGTCAGCATTTGCGAGTACTGTACAACTCGGTGATTGATGCATATCTCGTTACCATTGGATGATATTACTATGTTATGGATGGGTAAAGGATCCTTGTGAAGGGCAGAGAGACTAGGAGATTATAATAGGACAAGTACAAACAGTTCATTGTAACTGACTTCTATAAAACCATTGCTAAGTTTTAGGGTAATATCAAAGAATAATGTTACCTGAATAGGTTTTTAAACATTCCTCCCTTTCTTAGCTACATATCTGTGTGAGGCTGAGTTCTCTGTATATACTTCAAACAGATGTCCTAGCAAATTGAATACAGATATAAATATGAGAATACAACTGTCTTCCATTAAACTAATCACTACAGAGATTAAAAAATATTAAATATTGCTACTCTTCTTAATAAATTTTTCAAGAATATAGTTACATTTTGAGTGACCCCTCATGTACAACAAAATAAAACTGCGTCCTGTGCCATCCTCCCAATTGTGGTTTGAGCCCATTGTTGCAGTGACTGTCAGTCTCGTCTCATTGAGGGCCTTCCTATTGCACTTTACCACCACACACAATGTCCTCTTCCAGGGATTGCTTCTCCCTACTGTCGTGCTTCTAAATGTACTTAGGACTTTTTCTCCCATTTTTCTTTTCAATGTATTGGTTTCTCCCTTTGTAGTTAGGGAAGGCATTAGTAGACGTGGGCATGAGTCATCTGACGAGAGGTTTGACAGATGATTTGACAGAGGGAGTAGATCAAGGGTAAAGAGACCAAGTAGGTTCTGCATGAAGTTTGGGTTTCTGAACTAGAAGTTCAAATGATAATAAGATGGCAATGAACATTCCAGTGGTAACACTGTCTACATTCCCATTGCTATCAAGTCTGTTGCATCTCATATTAACACCACAGGAAAAAGTAGGATGCTGCTTAGGGCTCTGAGGCTGCAGTCTTTTGGGGAGCTGACTACACCACCTGCCTTTTGGTTATCAGTTGAGAGTTGCAGCTACTGTGCCGCCACCGCCACCACCCCACCCACCTCTCACCCCAGCCCCTTGAGGCTTCACAGCTAGGAAATGCTATTTTTAGCATTTGGAAATAGGATTATCGGCCTTTTAGGGTACAAGTGGTTTTACGAGTGGGAATTTCCAAAGCTTTTCCATGTTGGGTGAGTCGGGACCAACTAGTTGGGTTTGGCAAGGTCAGGACTTGGCAGGGGTAAAAATATGCTAACTTGCGTCAGGGAGGGGTTTTCTAACTCCTATTGCTTTGTTGTTTTCCAACAGAGTTTTAGATTTGGTGTGGAAATAGCTTATGTGGGAGCCACTATCTTGGATGTCTGCAAGCGAGTAAGGAAAAAGACCCTGGTCGGAGGGAACAATGACAGTAAGGGCTCTGCTTTTATTTGTTACACATATCCGTTTTCCTCTCTGTCTTGATTTACCATAGCGTGTACACTCTCTCCCAAAAGGTGGCATTAGAGGTGACACAAAAGGGCAGGTGGCCCTGTTGTCCCGGACAAATGCCAATGTGTTTGATGAGGCTGTTCGAGTGACTGACGGAGACACGCCTTCAAAGATACATTTGATTGGGGTAAGAGCCACTTTCTGTTGCCTGCTACACGCAGATGAATAGATCCAGTCAAAATGCCCAACTTATTTAGGATTCTTACGCATGAAAGCATTTGAGGTTTTGACCATTTTCACCGGCTGAGCTGTGCCTGAAGTCTTTACCCTGGGCCATTCTGATTATGCTATAAAAGTCAGATCAGTCACAGCCACGCATCTGACTTTTCACCCTTTAAAAAGCAGAGTGAAAAATTAAAACAAAACCCCCAAATGCTCTTTTCAGCTTTCCCTATGTGAATGAGGCTGCTGGTTGTTGGGTTTCTACCAGAGAAGTCTCTGGTTGTCTGTTGTCCATTGTTGAAAGGGTAACTGAGATAACAGTGGCCTGGGAGCATAATCCCTTTCAGTGTGCTGACTCTGAACACCTGGGTTCTAGCTCTGGCTCTGTCACTAACTTGTATGGCTTGGAGCAAGTCACCACTCCTGTGTGCCTCATTCTCTCCTTCTCTAAGGTGAGAAAGTATGCCTTTTTCTTTACCTGTTTCACGGGGAAGTTAGGAGGATGAACTGATACATACATGGCATTTTTAACTCTTTGACTAAGATTTATTCATACATTCATTTCCAAGAGCATTTTTGAGGGCCTACTATGGGCTAAGCATTCAATATATGTGGTAAGTGAATCAGAATCAAAAGATGTTACAGTTTTCCCATGTTTATTTATAAAGATATGGCCATATTATAGATATTTGGGGAACTGGAAGGTAAAAAAAACCCCAAATCTTAAGTTTTTTGTATAATGATTTTCATTCTCCCTAAGTCTCTTTGTCTTTGTCCTTATAGATGTGTACTTCTACCTAATTGCAATTATAGTGTGCATAAAAAAGTATGCTATTTTTCACGCAGCACCTATTTTCTTTCATGTTGCTACTGTAATGACTTTGTAATTTTTCATCCAGTGACTATAGCGTAATTTAGCTTTTCATTGTAAGAAAATAGTACTTTTGGAATATCGTCCATGTTGGGCATAATGAAAAGTAAGTTGTTCTCTTCCCCTCTCACACGTCCATTATCGCCTGTAGTACGTATTGTTATGCTTGATTACATCCAGTGTCCAATGATAATGCATACTGTCTTATTTTGGTCTCTGTTTTCTGTTGATGTTTTCTGTGTCCCTGCTCAGAGAGATGATACATCCCCTGTGTGGGGGTGGGATGGGTGGGGAGGGGAGGCCTGGGGGTGGGGGTGGGGGCGGGTAAAGCGGGGGCTTTGTCTCTCTCTCGTGTGTTCATGCCCTGGCTCTGTCCAGAGCTGGAGCACAGCCCTCAGCAGACACTCCTTAGGTGGGATTGGGCTAAGCCACGCTGCACTCAGGCCCTCTCACCTTTAAAGTGTAGAAGAATCCGGGCCTCTAGATAGGCTATAGTTGTTCCCTCTCAAGAAACAGTGGTAAGTATCCCTACTCAATACGCCCTGTTCAGGTCCCATTTGTGTTCTTCATGGCAGACGTTGTGTGTTCCCAGAAGGTAGATTTAAATTGCTCCTTTATATATGAGAAAACAAAGTGCAGCTAGTTTTTTTTTTTCTTTTTTTTTACTTTTTTTTTTTTAAACATAGGAAGAGTTTGAGGCAGCAGCCAAAGCTTAGAATTTGAGAAGGCTGAGTTTCAGGTGGCGTGGTCGCCTGGTACTGTGTGCTCGGTGGAGTTTCCTGCTCTGGGTACAGTTTGAGGTCTGTTTCCAAGAAATCGTCTCATTTCCAAATCCCATCTCTGCACTGGCTTTGTTTTGTTGAAACAAAAACAAACAAAATACAGCAACAAAACAAAAACAACAAAAATCCCACCAAAAAACTTTTTCAGGGGATTAAATCATTTGGATTGGACAGAATCATTGATATTTGGATCCTTCTTCAGCCAGAGGAAGAACGGAAGAAACGTGAGTACCCTGCCGGCTGTGGTGCCGTGGAAGGAGGTGCTCCAGTGACGAGGGATGGGAAAAGAGTGGGCTGTTCTCAGTCAGAGGTGTCCCTTTCCTCCCGGAGAAGGGTGGACCTAGTGTTGCTCTCTCCCCACGAAGAGGGGGGTGCCTGAGGCCTCCTGTGTGCAGAGGTACTGACAGCTCTTTCGGGATCCATTTCTCAGAGGGCTAGGTTTCTTTCTGACATTGATCCCTTATGCTGTCTCCCCTTCCTATCTTTCTGTCTGCCCCGGGCCCCACATGGTAGTCGGCTAACGATTCCATAGCATCTTTCCTTTTATGGATTCAGCGCTATTTCAGATCCCTGTGAAGTAGGTAAGGAGCTCAAGGGTAGGGTTCTTTATCCTCAGTTTGGAGATGGAGAGGCTAAAGCACAGGTCATTGCACTGACTTGCCCAGGAACACACAGCAAGTTAGTGATGTAGTCAGGACTAGAACCTGGATTTCCCAACTTGAAAGCCATCCATCTACTACGACACTGTTGCTTACAAACGTGTAGCTCTCACCGCCATGTGTTCGTGCGGCTCAGACCATATTAACCTGTATGTGTATTCTCCGTAGAAAACCTCACTATTAGAGACAGATTTATTAGAAGATGGGTGCACAAAGAAGGCTTTAGTGGCTTGAAGAGGTATGTGATCGCTGCCGAGGATAAGGAGCTCGAAGCAAAGATCGCAGTGGTTGAAAAGTATAATATCAGGATTCCAGAACTGGTGGAAAGGATAGGAAAATGCCATATAGAAGATTTGGACTTTGCAGGTAAGGAAAACCGTTCTTGTTATCACACAGGAGGTGCTTCTTGCCTGCTGCATGACCACGGATGGCTTGGTTGGGTTATTGAGAAAGAGCAGTGAAGTGGTCCTTCGTCTCCAGGGTGCCTCCTTTCCACGGCGGTGGCAGGGCAAGGCTGTTCAGCCTCGCTTTGATCTGTACAATAGAGCGCTCAGATAGTCGCTGAGAGCTTTGGAATGTGGTTCAGATTCCGAACCGCCCCCCACCTCCCCCGAAGTTGCCCATAAACAAGAAAATGTGTATAGTTAGGGCCTTAAGGAGACATTTTCTTTTCCTTCCCTACCAAGTCCCCGTCTAACTGCCTGCTCTCTTTCCATTCTAGAGTACATTTTGGGCACAGTGCACAAAGCCAAAGGCTTGGAATTTGACACCGTGCACGTTTTGGATGATTTTGTGAAAGTGCCTTGTGCTAGGCATAACCTGGCGCAGCTTCCCCACTTCAGAGTTGGTAAGGGCTGTGCTCTTCGTTCGCACTAGGAAGCATTCACGGAGGGGTTGCCCTCACTTTCTGTTGGATGGTGTGATCTCCTGTGTGCTCCTTCTACAACAGTGGTTCTCAACCTTCCTCATGCCACGGCCCTTGAATACAGTTCCTCAGGTGGTGGTGACCCCCAACCATCAGAAATATGTGTTTTCCGATGGTCCTCGACCCCCAAAGGGTCGCAGCCCGCAGGTTGAGAACCGTTGTTCGAAGAAAGAAATAGCTCCTTGCCCTAAACTCTTCACTCTTTTTTCTTTTGAACTTTTCATTGTGAATTGGGTGAAGGTAGTACAGAACAAACACATTTTCTGTGCACATTGTGTTTCCATGTCACTGAGTACAATCGTGCCAGTGTGATGTCCCCACACAGGGTTTGGACGTGAGAGGGACGGGGACAGTGAAGCTGTGGTGTATCTGGTACGCCACGCATGTTGGATAATCACTGAACAGATTGTAGCAAGACTCAATAAAACTCAGTATTCTCTGCCACTAGTCTTTTTGGTTTTATGTTTTGTTTTTGGAGTTGATGCATGTAGGAAAATTTTGTATATATTGCCAACAAATCTTGAGTTTTTGTTTTTTTAATAGGGAGATGGGGTGGTGGTTAGGGGTAAGAAGCATTTAGCTAAGAATGTATTTTTTTATGAGCAGTCTTTTGAGAGTATGTGTTTATTTCCTTTCTCTAGAGTCATTTTCTGAGGATGAGTGGAATTTACTGTATGTTGCAGTAACTCGGGCCAAGAAGCGTCTCATCATGACCAATTCATTGGAAAATATTTTGACCTTGGCTGGGGTAAGAGGCGTGGATACAAAAACAAGTAAAACAAACCAAAAGCCACCCTGTCCTCAAGTTGATTCCAACCCATAGCAACACTGTAAGACAGATTGGATGGTTCGGTTCCACGGGGGCACCAGGCTGCAACTCTCTGTGGACGCAGACTGCTGCGTCTTGTCCCCATCAGGCACCTGCTTGATCTCAGCTGGTGCCTTTTAGGTCAGGCAACCGAGTGCTTTAACCACGACCCCACCAGGGTTCCAAGACGTGGGTAGTATGAGCTAATTTAATCCTGTTTGAATTTGACTTAGTTTGAATAAAGGTTCACCTCCTAAACATTCGAAAGCTTTTAGGTCAGGAGCTGGTTTCTTTCTTGTGTATTCAGAAGCAGATTATTAGCACAAGGAGTGTTCTAACCAAACAAAACATGAGTTCTTTTCAAATTGGATTTTAAGATTTCTTTTTAATGTGTCATCTGTGTTCATCTGTTTCTTCGTTTCTCCAATGTTCAGTTAGTTTTCAACACTTGGGGTGGGGTGGGGTGGGGCAGGGCAAGCATACTTTCTGTTCCTAAACTTTCTCCGGCCCTTTTGTAATGGTGACTTCTGGCGCCTGTAGACTTCTCCAGAAGACTGCCCTTGCAGAGAGAGTAAGAGAGCTCTCAGACCCTCTTGACTCGGATCTTTTTTTCTGCCTTTCACAGCTGGAGTAGAAACCCTTAAGTCTTTTCCACCTTGTTGGGACACATGAACGGAAATTCGGGTGAATGAGTTACTACTTAGGCCATCTTCCCCTGAGCCAAAGACTCCGAAGCCTGAAACCTAAAGCTTAAATATAAAAGTTAATATAAGTACTGTTTTTTTCTTCTATCTCCCAAACATACAACATTGTCTAGCAGAGGATTCACTCAACGTCCCACATTGTGCCATTCTCTCAGGGAAGTGAGAAATAGGAGCCGAGGAGCCTGAGCATTGCCACTAATGGCTTTGAAATTTGCGGGTCAGGGAGTGCCAGTAACCACATATTAGTAAATCATGGTTCGCATCTCAGGGTTGCTCAGTGATAGTAAGCTAGAGCCCTGTTACCCTTCGCTGAAAGCGTATTGAATGCTTTCTAGGCACTGGGAGGGTAATGCCAGGCCTCAGAAATTCCTTGGGTTTGTTTTCAAGACAAAACGTTGATGAAGATCACATTGGGGTTGAAAGGGGAGAAACTATCAATACGGGCTCTGTGTGAGCCGTCACCACAGCAGAGGCACAATAGCGACACCGTGCATTTGTATTACTGATGAATTTCATGTCTTCCTAGCCATTTTCCCCCTCCAGCCACTCGGAGGGCGGGTCATGTAGCTATAAGAATGTTTCTGGAATTTGAAGGCAAAGGTTTTCCCAAACCAGTCTTTCTTTCTTTCTTTTTTTTGCCTACCACAATGGTACATGTATTTTTATTTATTTACCTTTTAATCATTTTATTGGGGCCTTATACAGCTCTTTTCACAATCCATATATACATCCATTGTGTCAAGCACATTTGGTGCCATAATCATTCTCAAAACACTTTCTTTCTACTTGAGCCCTTGGTTTCGCTCCTCATTATTTTCCCCCTCCCTCCCCACACCGGTACATTTAAAATTGGGTTTGTCATGTCATAGGAGCTTGTTTTTGCCATGCCTTTTATTGATGGGTGTTCAGCGTCACAGCAGCACAGTGTTCAGAGGGTAAAGGGAGAATGGGTAGGAAAGAGGGAACCGATTACATGGAAATGTGTGTGACCTCCTCCCTGGGGGACAGACAGCCGAAA